CAAAGACAGCTTGTTGTCACTCCTTGAATATGCCAAGTTCTTCAAGGAAATTGAAGACCTAAGGGGGTTACCTCCTCTCCAGGAAGCAAGTTCCACTTGTGGCATCAGAGGCTGACAACACTGTAGGCTTTGGAGCCAGGGCCAAGGATACCTGGAGGCAGATCTGGGAGACAAGGAGTGACGGTTATGCTGCCTTCATCTTAGGAGTGAACTGCATCAAAAGCAGCAAGATGCACAACCTGCAGCAGTACCTCCTGAAGCAGCAGAGAGCCGAGTCCTGCCCAGCACCTCTAGAAGTCAGCATCATTCCGGCTGCCTCCACATCAGCATCCAGCACTCTCGGTCAGTTCACAGAAATATGAAAATACTGCTTTTATTCGAACATTTAATGTTTCTAACACACTATTCATGTTATATACATTTCTAGCAATGGAGGAGGACAAGGACCTGGAGAGCCAAATGTTAAACCTGTTCCCTTGTAAAGTGGACCCCAAGCTACGTAGGTGGAGCTAGTTTATAAGACAATTTTCTGAACTTTACTATACATGATAAAAGTCTAATGCCAAATTTGCTTTCAGAGACACCGGCAGCAGTCTCCAGAGCCATGGATGCAGCTTCAGCAACAGGTTTTTCTTAATCAGTGTGGAGGGAGGATTCTGTTTTCAAGGATTCAACTTCCATTACTATGTTCTTTCAACTAGTTTGTTATTTTGGCCGTGTTCTGGCCTGTGCTGATGCTTGTGTTCTTTTACTTTCCCACTAACCTAAGGAGTTAACTTGTCATCAATGATGGTAAGTGTTTTTTTCGTGTTTGCATGCATTTTTAGACTACCATTTGAGGATTTGGCATGTGAAATTTTGAATCAAAAGTAGATATAGGTCAGCATGCCAAATCCTTGATAGGCAGGTATTCTGTTTACATATTAGTATTGTTTATCTGCTTTACCTATTTTTACCTTTAGTGTTTTAAAGCATTTTTCATAAATAGTGATTCACAGTTTAACCAAACAGTGTATTTTCAGTCGGTAATGACAATAAGCAACAGAGAAAACAGGCAAAGACAGACTTAGAGGCATAAACACAATGAATTTGTGAAGAAAATTACAGTATTGTTTTTTTACAGCACATAGAAGTAAGCCGACGCTGGCCCCCAAGGAGATAACCACTACACTACAGAAACTGATGAAAGAGAAACTCTCGTTTCCCCTTCATGTGATCCAATTAATTATCGCGATATCTCTAGAATCCAATTAGTTAATTAATCAATTAATTTCACATTAATTTTTTTCTTCTTCTAATTATGTAAATTAGGTTTCAATTTCTGAATAGGGTTAAATAATGGGTTTGTGTTAAGCAATTTAACTCATATTAAATATTAAACGAAAATTAATTCTGCCAATAAAACAGGAACAAATCGGAGTAACTATGTGGCTACACTACAAGAGCTGCTTATGTCAAGTGTTGACGGCAAGTATTTAAATTTTATTGTGGTTGCCTACTTCAGATAAGCTTACCTGAGTTTTATGCACACTGTTGATTATCAGCTTATTCGGCTTTTTATAATGCTACAGAGCCATCAACAGTAATCTTAGGTAACATCGCTAGTGTATACCATTCTTAAAACTAGGCTAGGTATGGCAAAATTGAACAAAAGTTGAAATCAACATCAACAGATTGATTTTACTTCGACTCTCTGTTGATTTGTGCTGCACCATTACATCCTGAGAAATGATTCTAATAGAGAGTGGATTTTATTATATAAAATTATAATTATTCAAACCTTATTTATAATGGCTTTGCAGGTATTTGTAGACAATCAAACCAGGGGGGGAAAAGTCAACTGTAGACTACCAGCATTATACCAGTGGTAACGAGGAATACAGCGCCCTCCTGTGTGACAAATGTATTTCAAACATGTCGGTAATGTAAGACTATTCACACTATATCTCTGTGGGTTTCCCCGGGTAAAGCTTGACTTCATTACTAAAACTATCCTCATGTATTGTCTCGGATAGCTGTAGAAGAGAAATGTGGCAACCAGAAGCACCTCAGGAGAAGTGGGTTCGAATCCGGCTCGACCCAAACAACAAGGTAAGTATTTGGTTCAGAATAACTCACTACATAGATAGTACATGTAAGAAGGTTAAAGAGAAATGCATTAACTTATTTTGGAACAAAATAATCTCTCAGATGAAAAGAAAAGATAAGACAAAACTGTTACTAAAAGATTAATTATTATTATTATTATTATTAATAATAATAATAATAATAATAATAATAATCATGTATTTCTATAAACAAATGCATGCATAAAAGACTACACAAAGTGTCTGACATCTTACCCATAAGTAGCTGGTACCCTTAAAATAATTATAAGAAAAATATATGAATGTACCCAAATCCTGCTGCAGTATTAGGAAAGGACTATATTCAGTCAGTAAAAATGAATACCAGTTACAGTAATACAAATAAAAGAAGTGTAAAGCCAAGCAAATGGGTATAGATGATTTAACTTTTTCACTATCACTTACAGGCCTAGTGGTAATCTTTGCGTATGATAAAAAAACAAAAAAAACAAAAACAAATTAAAGTCCTGCATTCAAAGCACTATACAAGTGCCTAAATATCATTTTAGATGACCAGATTCAGATTAAATGTTTTGGTTAAATATTACAGCTGCTTTTATGTATAGGCTATGTTGCATTTAACTGCTGTAGATTCTACAGCTTGCATACAATTGATGAATCAGACCTCCTGTCTTAATGGGACCAGTGGCCTTGGCAAGCTTGGCGAGTTTTCTAACTTTCTGATGCAGATGCAGGAACTACAGTCTTTATGAAACTGGTTCACTCGGTCTTCTTACCTTTACCAAAGGGTGAAACAGTGCCACCAAAATCTCTGTTGTGGCCAAAATTATATTACTTCCGTAGTAATAAGGACTACCATAGAGAATGAATGGGAAAAGTTAAGGAAGACAAGATATAGAGAAAAAAATAGAGAAGGAATAAAACCTGAAAAAGTGCCGGTATATATATTACGTTACCATGGCACCGAAACATCAATCCTCGTTAGTATAGTGGACAGTATCTCCGCCTGTCACGCGGAAGACCGGGGTTCGATTCCCCGACGGGGAGGACAAACATTTTTATTTAAATAAGCACCACTTTCGGAACCGTAAGCGTGTTTGTGGGTCTGAAACTTGGGAAATGATTTCCTTCCTCATTGAAAATTACAAGAAAGCAGAGTCTATGAGTCTATATAAGTCTCCATTGTGAGGTGGACCAAAGCACCAATTTATAACACATGCTATCACAAGACACTTAACACAAACACATTGTTATAATATTTACAAAGACCCAACATTAATCTATGGGCACAGCACTAAGCAACATTAAGCAAAGTTACAGTGGCAAGGAAATCTGCCTTTTAAGAGACAGAAACCTCAAACTGAACCAGACTCATCTGCGGAAAGTGTGTTGGTCTTGGAAAGTGGAATAGAGGGAGATGCAGGACGAGAGGGTCGGAAAGAGCAAGAACAATGAATAAGATTTATCTACAATGTCAGTAATAATGGTAAACGTTTGTGTAGTATTAGCAGTTACAACGAAGTATGAGTGTAAAGAAGTGCAAAATGTGTAAGTGTTTTATACAGTTTATAGCTAAAAAGTCATATTGTGCAAAGGGTAAAATTGAAAAAATCTAAATCTAAAAAACACAATAAAATATAAACCTAGAGACAAAACAATAGTGGTGAAATTAATAAAAGTGCTTAAAGCTTTACACTTTGGAAAAAACTTTTATAAACCTTCGGAAACATTTAGGGCTTAAGGAGATTAATGAAATGTTTTGGGGGCATGGTAAATTAAATAATAATAATAATAAATGTATTTGTATAAAACACTTTTAAAAACAAGGGTTTACGAAGCGTTTTAGACTGTATATGGTTTTGAAACTTGCAGAAGCACATAAGAACAAAGTACCCAAACAACAACAAACCCCAACCAGTCAGTAACCCAAACATCATATTAAGCACCCAGGCAACATAATAACCTCATCACAGGAATCCCAGAAAGCCTAAAATGAGACCAAGAGGACCAAGTTGGCCATGTAAGAAGATAGATTAGAAAATAAAGAGAAAGAAACAATAAAAAAATAAAAACAACAAGAAGAGATACATTCAATAAAAGTGGTTATAAGCTATAACAAGACAAGATAAATATAATTGAAAAGATAAAAACCATAAGAGGGGGGAAAAGCTCAACTCAACTCAACTTTATTTATATAGGCCTAGCACAGGAGTGGGCAACTGGCGGCCCGGGGGCCACATGCGGCCCCCATCAACCCTCAATGTGGCCCTCAGGTCAATTTTTACATATCAATGAATTAGAAACATGAAGAAAATGTGACAAAATCTGCCATGAAATCATGAAAACCAGAAATACATCCATAATAATATTTGATCACTGGCATATGTTGAGTTAAAAAAATAAATAATAATAATAATAATTGATTCATAATTGATCGTTTTTGTATACTACAATTTGGCCCTTTGGCAGGGAGAATTAATTGAATGTGGCCCTTGCCGTGACCAAAGTTGCCCATCCCTGGCTTAGCACTTTAAACACAACATAGTTGATCCAAAGTGCTGAACATTGCAGAAACAAAGCATTAGAAAGTAACAGACAAGAACAACAACAACAATAAAAAAAATTCAAATGTAACACAAGACTAACCGAGCTATACAATGAAATAAACAATAAAAATGTGTGTTGCATTATTTAAAAAAAAAATACTCCTATAGGCCTAAATAATATATTTTTTTTAAGTTGTTGGTTTATTTGATTAACGTTGTGTACCCTGAAGAGATAGTCTACTATCACAGATACTTTAATGTTAATCCCTTTAGGTGTGTTTTTGTGAAGCTTCCGTCAGGTCGCTCTCTCAGTATGCGGAACTCCCGGTGGTGATGATGATGAGGAGGAGGAGGAGGAGGAGGAGGAGGATGTTGTGAAGGCAGGTTGTGACTGACCGAGGCTCACCGAGCAGGGAGGCGGACACACGTTTCGCATCGTTTATATTTCTGCAACGACGGAATAGCAAGCCCCTTCCCCCCCTTTCCCGCCCCCCCCATCAAGCTCCCAAGTGATGAAACCTGATTCTTCAACAACAGAAACCTTGTGAGAAACAGCGCTGACTGCCTCTCTGCGTGACCGAGGAGAGGACACCCACCACCCGGGCCGTCGGCAGCAGCAGCAGCAGCAGCTGGCTCCGTTAGCGGCTAACCGGCTCATGTAAACAGGTAAGGATGCTCACACTTTCATGTTTACTCTTCAACATGTCTTTCTTATTTGTGGCTTATGTTTTGGGTGTTTGTTTTTTCCCTCACCGTGTGCTTGTTTGTGAAACGAAACGGTCAAGCTACTGTTAGCAGCTAGGCAGCTAACTGGTTAGCTAGCTAATCCATCCGTGACGTAGGAAACCGTGAAGCCTCCTAAAGTGGAGGATGCTTCGTAGGGGGGGTGAGGGGGGGTTGAAGGTGTAGGACAAGTCAGGCCTGATAGCTTTATTACAGATGAATGATAACACAGCCACAGCATGCTAAACGGACCCCAGCTCTCTCTCTCTCTCTCTCTGGTGAGCTGGTTCCGGAGGCGTTGGCATTGCCTCTGTTGCAGCTCATGTTGTTACCTTAATCTTAACTGTGAATCCTTACTACACCTCGACATTAACCTCAGCTCATACGGGATCTGTTCTGTGTGACTGAGACCCTGGACGTAGAAAGTGTGTGTCATTGTAAATTCACCTCTAAGCTAGCTTAAAACATCGATGTGCAGTTGTAATATCTTGCACAATGTCAAACCAGCAGAAACACGACCGATGAGACCTGGCAGATAATGTGGATTTACTTCTTCTTTTTTTCTTTCTTTTTTTTAATAATAATGACATTGGAGTAATGCCAGGAAGGTAAATAACAAGCTTGTTAAAAAAAAAAAGAACTTTATATCATCAAAGTACATTTTGATATACAATAACAGGCCAATAATGCTTAGTACAAACTATAATGTGATGTAATACAGCCCGTCTACGTCATAAAGATTATAATTTGAATGGTAATACTACTAATTTATATCTGTGACTAGCTTTGAGATGGTTCACGGTGTTGTAGGCCGACTGAATATGTATATTCAAATGTGTTTTTCAAATATATAGCTATTCTTGTATTCTCATGTACGTCTACTCTGTTCATAGGTAGGGGGAAATATTTTAGCAGCATAATAATGCAGTCCAGTAGGAGCAATGCCATCTACATCCTTAGTAAAAGTGGAGTATGGGTAAATACATATCTTTCAGTGTGAATCCAAATGTATACGTTGATGTATTTTTTCTTAAACTTTCACTGTACAGTTCAAAGTATTATTGTAAAGTAAAATACAGGTCTAGAATATGAGTCAGGTTTATTTCAAAGCAAAATACTTAGAATTGACAAAAGAGTAGTACACAGTACTCAGTATCATAGACTATCTTCTTATTCCAGATCTAAAACATAACAATAACTCAATTTCTTTTTTTTTTTTACACAATCATGTTTTGCCTCAGATGCAGCGCCTGGTTATGAATTTTGGCTGAGCCTCTCACTTTAATAAGTTACAACTGTTTCCTTTTCTGATACCATATTCTATTGGCTTCATTTAAAGATATTGCTCTGACACATGAACGATACCAAGACAGCTTTTATTCCCCCGTCAGCATAAAATATTTTAATCGACACAAGCTTGTAAAGCACTCTGCTCTTATAGTGCAGTGTGCGTGGTGTAGAGACCAATACATCAGTTTTTCACAACACTATGATTTTGGGTCTGTTATGTATATTGACTTTAATGAAAGCGGAAGAGAGGCGCAATTCATGGTGTCTCGATGACACTGCAACCTAACCTGAAGTAAAATTTTATTGGGATGTGAAACCCTCAGTGCAATATTGTAAAACAGCCCAATAAAAGCTTGACAAATGACTTAGAATAAAGACATCATCTTCTCTGCGCTGGAGTTACTCAGCCTTTAAAATAAAATAAAAAATCAGTCAAAAAAACAAAGTAAGTATGTAATCATTGTTGTATTCAGCACACTGAGCCGAAGTCTTTGCCTGTCACTCAAGACAGAGCTAGAAGCTTGGCAGACTCAATTTGACTTGACAGCTTGCAAGATGACAACAAATGCATCCTTTCCCCACACCACTGCATCCATTCTGCACTTTTACCTCACGTGTGATACGTAAGAATTGAATGCAAAGTTAAACAAATAAAATGATTTGCCTATGAAAACAGATAACAGAAAACTAATTAGATATGTGTAAGTGAGTTTTGCAGCCAAGAAATTGATTCAAAGGCGGGATAAGGTCTAGAAAAAATGACTATGGAAAAAATGTCTCCTAGAAATTGTTAAGAAATGATTAGAGAGTACGTCTGTCTATGCCTTCGCTCTCATTTTGTGCTACTACCAGGCAACAAAATAGTTCTTATATCTGTTCAGCCACGGCACACTGTACCATTGGTTCGATACAAAAAAGATTGAAATCTAAAAGTGAGAGTGCAAAGATCAATACTTTCTTAATCAACACTTCATCTGCTTTCTTGTTTGCGTGTCAGCACCGAACTAAAACAAATTCAAGAGGCTTCATCATCTCTTCTCACTGTTGTTCGCTGTGACTGGCAAGAAGGTGCAGGCCATATTGGAGGCTTGTGATTCATATCTAGCTCTTCTCTATGCTTATATAACCACAGAGTGTTGCCTGCAGACCCCTTTGACCACAATCATCTGTTGTGTTAACCCTCATCATTATCTTGCCTTTGAAGACCTAGTGTTGTGGTTATTCTTTTATCTTTTTTTTTCTAGAGACAGAAACAAGGTTCAATCCCAAGCTCAATAGTTAAATACAATGAGTGAATTTGTATCCATCCATGGCTATAAATAATACTATGGTCCTGCTCTGCCTTTGTGCTCAGTGGGTCTGCCTCCAGCTCTGCTGCTTCATAAAATAGCCATTTTGGCTTTGCACCAGGACGCATTCATTTTGCCAGACCTGCATGTTGATTCATTGTCCTCCTGATGGTTTTTGTAAGATCTACTTGTACAGGCCTAGTCCTTACTGCTAGAATAAATTATGTTCTTGGCATTATTTCTTCTCCATAGTTAGCCATCGTTCTGAGGAAATGGTTACTGCTCTCCAACATGTCAGAGTTGTCACATCATGTAGAAAAATAAGGAAGAACTTTAAAAAAAAAAGAACTTGCTTTCAGAATGGATTGCCTCAACACAAAGACCTTTTTATTCATTTTTTAAAAGATAATACACGTAATGATATTAATTGACAGTTTAATTTGGTCTTGTTGTTCACTGACTTGCAAAAGCAGGATGTTAGAATTGCAGTGCATATCTATAATTTAACAAATGTGATGTGTGCTGACATAAAGCTGACTCAACAAGACATGCTTCATTCCTCTTTGAAATGAAATGCTCTTCAAAATGTGTCTTCTTTAACAGTTTCATCGGACAGCATTTGCCTAGTTACTCATTCCTTATGTAAACCCTGTCAAGAATGGATTAGCTAATTTCCTCAAATTACGAATATCATTTTGTAACTGATACAGCCTTTTATTTATAGTATCTTTCCAAAATTATAGTTAGAAAGAGTCTTTTTACCAGAGTGACTGCGTTTTGATACTAATGTGTCGGTTAACATTGTCTATTTGGTAATTCTGCCTAATGTCATCATTTATGTGACCATTTTTCCACAGTTCTCCATCCAGATTAGATGAATCACATTTGTCTTATGTCCCTCTGTGAGGGCTCCTCTGCTCACATTTTGAGCTATTAGAGATAATTAGACCCATAATGCATCCGCAGCCCTCTGTGATAAAGTCAGTCCTAATGTCAGCTGGACACAGCTGCATCTCTCTGCCTCTGTGCCATGGCTGCTTGGGTTAATGACAGCCTATGTCAGGGTGTTAGACTGTGGTGTCCCACTCATGGCTTGCATGCAGCTTATTAGTGAGCCCTGTTGTCTTTGTGTGACTGGTCTGTTTTTTTGCCAGATGAGCTCTCATCTGTGAAGCATCAAATCCACTTGTCAACATTTATCTACAGTTTACATTTGTACCTATTAATCATAAACCTAAAATGTTAATCCCATTATAGGTTGTCATGGTTAGAATGCTAATAAATCCAACCTAATTGTGCAACAAAATAATTAAAATTAAACCATTTGATTATTTCTGTTTTGCCATTTTAAGAGCTGCAGCTAATGCTAATTTCAATTAGCAAATAATCGTCTGATTATTATTATCATGATGTATTGATTGATTAGACTTTAAAGCTGTCCAAAATGGGAAACATTTCTATGAGCCCAAAGTAAGGTCTGCAAAGTTCTTTAGTTCTTCAAATTTGAATTTCCCTCAGGATCAAAACTATCTATCTATCTATCTATCTATCTGTCTAATCAACAGGCAAAACCAAAGACTTTTCATTTGCGTTCTTAAATAAAATACAAAAGGAACAATTCCCCACATTCAAGAAGCTGGAACCAGCATTGATTATGTAAATACAAATTACACTTATCATTTCTGCTAATAGTAGATTCATTTCTTAACTTTAGGAAAAAAATCATTGGTGTTGAATGAATAACAATTATTTTGGCGGTTCATACTTTCTGTTTTAATGGATAAATAATCTCTTACGATATCATGTTACGGATAAATCAATTGAGAAAAAGACTGAATAGATATTGTGACTGATATTGAAGGTATGGACTATGGAGAGAATCGCCTTTCTTCATAAATCTGAGGACAGGATCATCTTTGTAGTTTTTGGAAAACTAAGTGTGTATGTTACCTCAAGAGTAAATAACTGAGCCACTATCGTATGAATTGACATGTATTTCCATGAGCATAGATAACTAGGGTGTATAGATGACCAACTGTATGTTCCATTCTTTGTTGTATTTGTTTACAAAAATACAGTCTAAAGAAAGCTATTGAGAAAAGTGAGTGACATTTGTAACCAAAGCTCAAACCACAGAAAATAAATAAAACAATGCAAAGTCTATCAGGCTTCTTTAAGGGGCACTGCCTCTGAAATGTCTCTGAAATGGACACCTCTGTGGAAATGTGATGCTTCTGCTAGAGAAGGATGCAAACGTGCCTGATAGACTTTCACATAGTGGTGTAAAGGATTACAAATCCCATTGTTGGGATCGTATCACGGATTTTGATCATGGATCAAATCAGTTTTTTTATGGATCAAGCAAAGAGAGAAAAAAAATACATTTACAGTGTTTTCTGCAGCGCCTTTTTTATGTTTGTATGAGTGGACTCTTGGAAGAGTAGTTGCTACTTAGGTAGTGGCTCTTGGGGATCCAAATAAACAAATAAAACAAATATGAGCTACAACAGCAGTGCCAGGTGATGATCCATGCTTCGTTTGGATCAGACCCCCATGGTTCTGGCCGCAACTTTTCTCTGTTTCCTCTTACTCTGTCTGTGTCATACAGTTATCATCTGGTTGTATAATAGTAGAAGCTGTTAGACCTGAACCTGAAACCTGAACTCTCTTTTTATTTAGAAAGTGCTTTTAAAATCTAAGTAAAGCAGAAAATACATTTGGTGAATAACAAGTTTGCTGTAATCTACAGAAGTCTTTTTTTTTTACACTTCTTACATTGTTGAACATGTAAAAGACACACCATTCATTTAGCGGATGTGTGTGTCTGTGTACCTGCAGCGTATGTTCTGTGAGCTAGATGAAAGACAACAGCAGGTGTTTAGGAACTATCTTCAGTGAACACAGCGCTATTTAACAGAGTTTGTCTAAGCTTACAGCAACAGACTACAGCAGGCTGTGACCTTACTAATGTGAAGCTACTGATTGTTGTCACACGCAGCTGATTCCTGTATGATCGAAGACAGTGTGATCCGAACGTGATCTGTTTTAACACTCCCTATATCAGCTCTGAAACAGGATCATTTGCCCATAAAGTGTGCAAACTAATGAATTTAAGTTTGGGATGGTTTAGACTACATAATACAGCCAAATAAAGGAATGAAGTAAGTGGAGGTCTGCATGTCAAATTATCTGAGAAACAAACAGAGCTTCATTTTGTGTCAGCTCACCTTGAAGCCCCTGAAACCCAGAGGGACAGTTTTATCTGTCTTGCCAGGTTTAATAACGTGTTCTGTTTGTTTTGCAGAGGAGAGAATGGTGTATGATTCTGCTCTCAATAGCAACACTGACGGGTCATTTTAAGATTGGGTTGTAAAGTTCATAGCCCACACCATCGCCATGCTGTTGATCCTGCATTACTCATTGAGAACAATCACACATGAAAGAAAAAAGAAGAAGTGACTGTTGCTCTGCGAGCCCTCGTGGGATCTTCTCTACTAATGATTCTAACCATCAACTTTAACGGGTTTGCCCTAGGGTTGGGCAGTAAACTGGTATACCAGAACTGGCATGGTCTACCACAAATCTTTGCCAGACTGTCATCACCGGTTATAATAATAACACATTTGGTTGTAGTGCACACACCATGCACTGATTACTTAACCTACCTACCAGCCAATGGGGCGGGTAAATAAAAGAAGCGTTAAAAGTGATTTGTGATCAGATTGTGTCCCCTCGGTCTTCTGAATGTTTTGCTCTGAGTGTCACATATGCTCATTACGCAAACAGCAGCGCCTCCTCCTCATGTCAGAGCGGATGTCAGTGCTTACAATGAAATTGAATTGTGTCACAGCAATCAAGTAAACTTCTATTCTTCCCCCTATGTATTGAATACCTCACCCACTTAATGTGGCTTTATTTGTGTGCTTAGCAAACAACACCACATTAAGTGGGTGTGCTCGCTTGCACCATGTCGCTTTCGGTCTCTCTGGGTAGGCATAGGCTATTTGCTGGAATGGCTTTACTCTGTGTCACTTGAGCCCAGCGCAGCATCGATTTGCATATCCATTTCAACGGGTCTACCTGCTGAACGTGTGTTTCAATGTGTCGCTTGTTTTAAGACCAAAATGATTAAAAGAAGCAGGCTGTAGTTGTGACTCATGCTCAAATGAGCGGCTGTAAATACTGTAACTCCAGATTGTGTCATTGATTGTGACACATTGATTGTGTCAAGTTATAGCTATAGACTTACTCCCCAAGTTAAACATGTCTTGTAATTTAGACCTTAAATTACTCCCAACTTTTTCTACTAGAATGTATACATACATTGTAGGATATCATCACCATCATTAGGGTATGATATTTGTGTATTGTGTTTGTGTTTCAGGGTGGAGTTTCTACATGTTGCATTAGTAATGTGTGTGTATAGTGTTTGCTTTTCTCCTGGCATCTTCTGCTGCCATAGGTTCGTACTGTTAGATATATACTAACACCTTTCGATTTTCTGTTCGCTCCACTGTGACTAAAAATACAATATTAGAAGCATGTTACATAATTATGTAAGAATGTATATGAGTTTCTGTAGACTCAAGCATCAGGAGTTTACAGTCAGGTTTTGATGCATATGCCTTATGATGAAACAGAGAGGACTTCTTTTTAGAGCCGCCATTTTGTTACAACATTTATCAATCACGCTGTAAATGAAACTATAGGTTGGGTTTTCATCCTGACTTCTGACCACCTTGTGTGGAAGAGTAGCAAGGTCCTTATGCATATCAAAACTGTATGACTGAAAGGATAACATGAAATTACCTGCTGACATGTGAGAGTGTCTAGTGTTTCTGTAAATTTTGTGATAGAAGTGTTAAAAGCTGTGCCTCGTGTAAATCCCTACCCCCTGGTGGTTTGCTTGTATTGTTTTTTTTCTCAATGCAATGGAACTCTGTTCACATCATACTTTTATGAGAGTACATCAGGACAATGTTTCTTTGAGATGATGAAGCATCAGTGTTGTTAAAGTTTGCTTGGCCTAAGCACATCCTGCTCGCTTGTGATGTAGACGAAGGCATCACTTTTTTGTTTTCTTGGCATGAGAAAGCTGCCAAGGTAATACAAGTGTACATTATGTTTGTCCAGATATGACATACATTTCAGTCATTAACAACGTCTTGTGTTATCGTTACTGTGGGAAGATAGCAAGGCGAAATGACTCCATGTTGGTGAATAACCATCTACAGAGTTTCTGGTTGAATTTCCTGAAGTTATCTGTCAGTCTCAGTGCTGTGAGGACCATGTTTCAAGCTCTGAAGGGTGCTTATTCCACAGAGACCCTTAAGCTGCTTACTATGTGAGCAAGCCTCTACTGAAAAGTCTTTATCCTCCAACAAAAACAGCCGGCTGACAGAATGGCTACGAGCCGACAGAAAAATATTAACTAAAACAACTATGACAAAGTGTAATCAAGTGGGTGGTGTTACCTCCTCTTGTTATTTGGGATAATATCTAACATTTCCATGTATGACATCTCTTGGGTTTTTCAAGCTGTGTCTTATTCTATGCCGTGTTTGTTAATATCATTATGTATATCCTGTTATGTCGACATGACTTCTCCAGCAGAGCTACAGTGCTGTTTTTCCCATGGTTTCACCAATGATGAACTCTCCGAGAAAAGGCAATTAGTTTCAGACTTTAGTTTCTTTAGTGGCAGACACAGAAATAAACTAGAGAGAGAAAAACCTTTGTATCTCTGCTTATCTGAGTCTGGTCATTTGCGAATAAAATTGGCTTTCTGGTCATCAGGACAGAACAACACACCGTTGTCCTCAGTCCAATCTCCTGTTTTCTTGTTGAAAATCTCAGATACTGAAAGAGCTCAGTAGATTTCATGTCTCTTAACTCACTTGTCAGATGCTGTTGAGAGGCTTCATGTGAAAAGTGATAAATAATGACTGAACTTACTACCCATTTACATTACACTTAAAATGTTTCCACATATCTTTCTTGTGTTACAGGCTTGACTATTTCATTGAACCTTCAAGATGATATTCAAGGAGCTGTGTTGCAACTTTACAACTGAATTGTACAACTTGTGATGGCAAGACACCACTGACCCAAGAGGGAACATAAATCCTGGATGCCGTGACATACGGGACGTGGTAAATCCAAGATGGAGAAAAAGAAAATGTGCCCTCGTCTTCTCGACTACTTGGTGGTGGTCGGAGCAAGGTAGGATCATGATTGGGAATTTTAAAGGAGTATATTTATTTTAAAGGAATATCAGAGTCACAAAAGCCTGAATAGATGCGTCACAAGAAAATCATTGAAGTAACTTGTTTTTTAGTGGTGAACAACACTTCAATTTCTTGACACACTATTTTGTCCCTCTATTTCCAGCATTTGTCCTGGACCAAAACAAATTAAAATGCCATTTTAGATTCAGTATCAGTTAATGTTTAAGGGGGTGCTGTTTAACCCTGCTGTATTGAAATGCTGATATCTCACTACCACATGTCTAAGCGTGCATAATAAAGAATAGAAGCACATTGTCTCAAGCTCATTGGCCATGTGGGAGACCACTGTCCAGTGTGTGACTTTCTCAGGGCCACTGAGTCTCTCTACTAGAACTTTCAGGCATCGAAGTATTACGCATAAGGGCAATTTACAGAGTTGTAGGTTTGAGTGGTTGCTATTTGTTTAACTCCCCTGGCCAGATGTTAACAGCTTAACAAACCAAGACATTTGACCATGGTCAGGGCTTTGTGAGCAAATAATCAAAGCCCAAGATTCCTTTATGAAATGCTTCTCTCACCACTTGGTTGGTTGGTTAGTTGGTAAAGAAAACAGATGTCATGACAGTTGCAGTGCTACAACTTAAATTATGTTGTTTGACCCTCCAGGCAACCAAGCAGTGACAATGTGGCCCAGACACCTCAGCTCCTCCGTCGCTACCCGCTGGAGGACCACAATGACTTCCCACTTCCACCAGACGTGGTGTTTTTCTGCCAACCTGAGGGCTGCCTGAGTATACGCCAGCGCAGGGTTAGCCTCCGTGACGACTCCTCGTTTGTTTTCACGCTGACAGACAAGGACTCAGGAATCACCCGCTACGGAATCTGCGTCAACTTCTACCGATCTTTTCAGCGAGGACATCACCGTGCTCGTGGGGAAAAGAGTGGACACACAGAGACAGCAGCACAGGCGGCCAGTGAAGGGTCTGATGGCAGTGGTGGAGGCCCACCATCCTCAGAATCTCCATCCAAAAGAGCAGAGTCAGCACCTCCGCCTGCCTCAGGAGAGGATAGTGGACAACCAGGGTCCGAGCTAAATGCTGGCAAGTCCCCACAGCACAGAAGAAATGCTGCTAAAATGGCAGCCAGGAACCGCAACAGCACACTGACCTCGCTGTGCATACTCAGCCACTACCCCTTCTTCTCCACCTTTAGGGAATGCCTATATATTCTTAAGAGGCTGGTGGACTGCTGCAGTCAGAGGCTAACCCAACGAGCAGGCCTCCCTCGTGCCACCCAAAGGTAAGGCTTAACATGCATCTACTTTTTGTTGCTTTCTTGAAGTTTACTGAGATGTTGTTATTTTCTTTTTTTGGTGTATCATTACAGACTAGTGCATGGCTAATTTAATTTAAATGTTTTCTTTAGTTCTCAGCAGATTTTTACTTGCCAGTCAAGGAACACCTATTGTTTTTGACACTTCTTGACCTTTTTTGTTGTGCAGCCTTTAAGCCAAAAGTTCAGTACATGTATTATATCCTTGGTTTTAACGAACCCATGACATTTACTTTCACACCATCAATTTTAACGATCAACTTGTCAGTACAACATGAATCAATTCCTTTAAAAAATGTCTGTATGTTCTGTGTTATTAACTTCACAGCCTTTAGGGCAGGGATGGGCAACTTTGGTCTCAGCGAGGGCAACAATAATTTAATTTTCACTGCCAGAGGGCCAAATTGTAGTTTCCAAAACAATTACAGTCAATTATGTCTCAAATTTAACTCAATATATACCAGTGATTAAATATTATTATGGACATATTTCTGGTTTTCATGATTTCATGGCAGATTTTGTCATGTTTTCTTCATGTTTCCAACTAACTGATATGTAAAAATTGAACTGAGGGCCACGTTGAGGGTTGATGGGGGCCGCTTGTGGCCCCTGGGCCGCCAGTTGCCCACCCCTGCTTTAGGGGGTAAAACTTGTTAAAGCAAATGGCTCATAGAGACTGAGTTTAACTTATCATACCCTGAAGTCCACTCCAGCTGGAGTGGAAAACCGCCATCCCTCTGATATCACCAAGGACTAAAATGCACGGAGGAAAAAAGCCTGTTGCTACATTCAAACAGTTAGTCAAAGGATATTTTTAGTTCTCTGTTCACAGCAGAGTAGAAAAGGTTTGATGTCAAAGTTAATATTAATAATTTTATCTATGTGTCCCTTCCTCCTCATAAATGCGGGGATATGATCCAAATGATTGGACAGAGGTATAATATGTAGACATTTACAACTATTTGATATTATCAACAAGGGTCATTATTTTTAACAAAGACTGAAACCAGGCTTTGCAGCTTAGTCTCCAAATTACTAAACAAAACGTATAACTGATGCTAATTTCTTATTCCCTGCATTGACTTTTATCTTCTTATAGATTGAGATACTTCTAAAATATTAGTTTTGTATCCTGTTGGTAATGTCTCCCAACACAAATGGTTTTTTGTTCTTCCACTAGCAGACAGTATTGATATTGATTGATCAAAAAGTCAACAGAAAGTGATGAATCTTTTCGCCCCGGACAGGCTTTTATTTGTGCTTTGCTTATTTAGTAAATGATAATATCTTCGCCTATTTATGGTTCACACAGAGTTATTAGCACTCATCATCTCTAAGTGTTTGAATAGCATCCATTTGTTCATCATGCCGTACTGTAGACCACACAAACAGAGTTTATACAATTGCTGTTTTATTCTTAGGTATTGAAAATTCAAGACTGGAATAGTTATCAATAATAGCATAAATGTGTTGTTTTAGCTGTGTTGTAGATGTTTTCTGCAAAGCCTACTGCTTTTCTCATCCCTCCATCTGCTTCCCTCATTGTCCACCTGTTATGTCTATGTATGTGTGGCAGAGTAAACAGAGATCATACAAGAGCTTTTGTCTGTGGCTCCATGCAGTCCTGCAGGCCATCTGCAGCGTCGTGTGTCATGTTTTCACAGGGTTCTTTTTAACTTTCACACTCCTCCTGAAAGATAAATAATGGCAACCATATTACCACTGTTTTGTTCGAATGATTTGTATCACAGCAAATATTATTTAATCCAGTGTTCTAGGGGCAGCTGATATGTTTTATGAATGTGAAGTAAAAACACTTCAAATGCGGAGTAATCAAGACTTTTTCGGCGCTCTTTTTGGTCCAATGTTTTAGATTTACACTTTGTCACAAAAATTGTGGTGTGAAGAGGGGAAAGTAGGTTGGATATGACAGTTGTTTTTTCTTGATGATTGAGCTGCTTTTTAAGATATGCACTGTCACTATAATTAATCATCAATAATAATATTTTGTATAGGGCCAATTCATCACAAATGTTATCTCAAAACACTTAACAAAAATATCAGGTCTAGACCATCCTCTTTTTTCCTTCATAGAATATATATAATCATAGGTACTTCAAAATCTCAAGCAAAATCTCAGAGTAAAAGATCAGTCATGTTGTAGGTTTTTCTCTTGACCACCAGGGTTGAGGTGAGCACCTTATTTTGATGTTTCATGATGTTGTAATCTGGCAATAACAGCTGTTCTTCTGTTGCCATGGAGAACACAATAGGTTACAATTTTGCAGTGAAAAAGTGTAAGTAAGGCTGTCATTGCACTTTGGCTTAGACTCAGTATTATTGGCGGTCACCCAAAGTGGGTATGTGTTCTCCACAGTCATCTATATAAGGCTGAAGAGGCTGTGCAGCTTTTCTCTACATCACTAAAATAGATTATAGGTCTGTCTGATTCACACTTAATCTCATGCCTTCACATTTGTTTCCTTTGGTAGTATGCTCTGGTAGATTCCATACAGCTTCAGTATTTAAGGTTTTGTTTCTCTGACAACCTTGAAATGGCCATTCATCCAAAAGGCTTCACTGACCTAAGGGTCTTTTTCCCTTGACATGGTTGGTTGAAATACTGTGTGGGAATGACAGAGAAGGAAGAGAGCCATTGCAAAATGGCTGTGAGCACTTTGTGCTATGGCGGCTCTGACAGATTGGGGTCTCTGGCTGCCTTTGGGTAGCAGCTGCACTGCAGTAGGTGGGAGGGCTTCAAAGGACTAATGATTTATCTCCATCCTTGCCACACACACACACTGAGTACACACTCCAGAGATACTTTAATGGCACCCTACGTGTGAAGAGTGGAGGGTTTTCAAATCAATATAACAGCAATTGCTTAAGAGTGTCTCCTGTGTTTTCAATCTCATTTGCCCATCATATAAGAGATTACAATGAGTGTTTGCAGAGGCCTCGTAGTAGCTGTTTGGAGCAATAAAATGAGAAATAGATTTAATTTAAAAACCCTAAAATGACTGCAACGTGTTATCTGTTAAGCCTAACCGTATTTTGCATGTCCATTTTTTTGTGTTTAAAAAATTATGTTTTTCATCCTGTGTTAAAATATTGTAGCTACTCTAGCTCCTGCTTAAACAGTTAGTCTTTAAGTTAGTCTCAATATATAGGATTGAGTGGAACTTGAGATTTCTTCTCAAATTTCAAAGCTTACTTCTAAATCCTCTCCCCACTCCATACCAGTCTAGTTGTTGGTGGTAATACAACTCTAAGCCAGTTTGCCACATGCAAATAGATTCTTGTAGAAGAAATAAAAATGTACCGCTCTTTTGTTTACTTAAATAAAACACACTGAGAATGTCTTTCAGCCACTATCAGAACGGAAAAAAGCCCTAAGTTCTTGCATCCTTCAAAGAGTTGTTATTCCCAGCACTATTTGGGCCAAACAAGGCATATTGTCATGTGACACCTCAAAATAGCTCTGAGATGTCATTTGAGTTAACATCCAGACATCACGTTGTGGCTGGGAAGCAATTTATGGGTCAAAAACAAATACAAAAATTCAATTGTACATTTTGATTGTTAAGATAATGATCAAACAGTGAACTCAGATTGTTCCCTCTGTTTATCTTCTCACAGGGACACCATGTGGCGTGTGTTTACGGGGGCACTGTCAGTAGAAGAGAAAGGAAGCCAGCTGCTGGCCGACCTGCGGGAGATTGAATCCTGGGTGTACCGGTTATTGCGGTCACCTGTACCAGTGGCAGGTCAGAGACGTGTGGACGTGGAAGTCCTGCCCAAGATCTTAAACGGGCTCTCACCTTTGCCCTACCTGACAACTCTCGCTTCGCCATGGTCGACTTCCCACTGCACCTGCCCTTAGAGCTGCTGGGTGTGGACGCCTGTCTGCAGGTCCTCAGCTGTGTCCTGCTAGAGCACAAGGTAAGGACAAACACAGTGTCTTTGCCTCAGCCTGTCTCTTAGCTTTTCATTATAGTCTTTATTTTGTCTTTCACTGTTTCCAAATTAGGACCAACATGATTTTTTAAAAGAGAAAGGAACTATGTTTAATTTGTTTTGATTGGTCGGGGTTAGTTCTTGGATGCAGCTGTGTATCCCCTCTTCTCCTGGACAAGAATTCTTTAAAAGACAATTCATGTAGCCCTGAGTGACCTTCATCAGACATTTTCTCTTTGATGTATGCTAACTGAAGCCATTTCACTGTCACATGGACAAAGCATGAAGGGTATAAAGATGACGGTGCACTCTTTGACAGAGACACAGACACTTTATCTCTGTTCCTCCTATCGTTACCACTGAAAGAATTAGTAAGGATGAAATAGAAATCCGTGTTTGGCAGGTGCTGTAGCAGTCTTCTACTGTTGCTCATGGTTTAGAGTGACATTGACGCACAGCTTTATTTGCATCATCCAAATTGAACCCAAGCTTCACAGCTTCACTCACACTGCTGAGACACCATATTGCTGGATTAATGCTGAATAGCTTCTCTGCTTTTCTGTCTCTTAGCATTTCTTAAATACAGATTTTATCTGGGCCACCAGCCTAAAAAGATGTTCACCCACTCAAAGGGTTTTTTAAATGTAGCAGTCCCTTTACCCTTCTCCTCCTTGAGTTCAATCACTGAAAAGAAAATAGCCACCTGTATGAAACGCTGACCTTTTACTCATTCATTTTGGTTTTTTGAAGATGAATTCAAAACATAATTAAATTCAGTCGGGCTGAACTAAGTGCTGTCTGAAAGCTTTCTGAGTGGTTTCCTTTAAAGGGCTTTGTGCTGCAAGATGAATTTTTCATATAGGCTCAGTTTTTAATCTTGCTACCACAAGGCAAAATGTGGGTGTTCACACCTTAACATTACAGACAAACAGGTAATATGGAAAGAGCAGATGACTACTTGTTTGTTAGCGCATAAGAGCAAGAGGTCAACTGGGTGAAAATGTGCCTGGTTTTAAAAATGTTACAGTAAGTGTAGGTGTGTGATATTTGTCTTAAAAACCCTAATATTATGTTTTTCTTAATTTTTTTTTATTATTTTTTTCTCAGGTCATTCTTCAATCCAGAGATTACAATGCTTTGTCAATGAGCGTCATGGCCTTTGTGGCAATGATCTATCCTCTGGAGTACATGTTCCCTGTCATCCCCTTACTGCCAACATGCATGGCCTCTGCTGAACAGGTAAAACCTGTCATTTGTGATAAATATCTTCAAATTAATAAATGACAATGTCTTTTTTTGCTGTCAAATACTTGACTGACTTGTTTAATTTGTCCTCCCCACAGCTCCTTCTCGCCCCCCACGCCATACATAATAGGTGTACCAGCCAGCTTCTTCCTCTACAAAGCTGATTTCAAAATGCCAGATGACTTGTGGCTTGTTGACCTTGACAGCAGCAAGGTCAGTTAACATGGTGTTCTACTCCTCCTTCTGATCTTTTATTTCTGTTTTCTTGAAGTGTCCAGATTATGCTAGGGTTTAATCTAATTCATTCATTAGTTTAACAACTTCTCAGCTGCATCTTTGTTGTTTTTTTTGTCTACAGGTTATAGCACCCACCAACGCAGAGCTTCTACCACCTCTCCCAGAGCCGGAAGCAGGCGAGCTGAAGAAACATCTCAAACAGGTACTGCTTGTGACTGGTCTGTTTCCTCTTACGTTATTAGCTGTTTAACATTTTCAGATTGTGCTGCTCTGTCGCAGCCAGGGCTCAGACTAAAACCAGTGGGATTACTGGCATTTTGCAGATAATTTTCTGGAACCCAGTTAGTACTCTGGAGCCAAGCAATTTTTGTTCCCATGACTGTAAGTGGATTCAAATGTTTAAATATTAAACCTTTTTTCCAGCAGTAAGAAGAGTAGGGGCTCCCTTCTTCAGCAGAGTTGTATGTATTGTAGAAGAGTGTGCGAGCATTTGAATTGAGTTTTGAGGTGCACTAACATGAACAAATGTTTTTCTTCTTTTCTTTTTTCCTGTTTTTTTTTGCATGCTCTAGCTCTTGGAGGTAAAACCAAATCATAGGACCCTGTTACCCAAGCCAAACCTTTAGTTATACTGTGCTGATAGTAACTAACCCGCCCCTCTAAGCCAGTTATCTAACATAATATCAGAATCTGGTTCTGATTCATGGGGACTTCTCACTTTTATATTTTACCACACTGCAAGCAACACCAACATTATGTCACATCATTTATAAACTACTAATATTATCACTAAGTGAGCTTATAATTTAAGATACAGTAAAGCCCACACTTTTCCCAAATTAATTCTGTATTTTTATTTTTTTTATTTAAATCTTATTTTAACAACTGCATGGAGGAAGGTTTCAAACTTTTCTTATCCATAGTTCACCTCGAAAGTGGCAGCACTACATGATACAAATGTCATGTTTTAACATACTAAAATTATATAGCATTCACAGTTTTAATCACATAATTAGAACTTTTTAACACAAATAATAATTGACTTTAAAAAAAACAAAAACCTGTTTTTTATTTGTACTCTCTGGTTGATGTGTTAGAAAGGATACGTTAAATCAGTGGTTCTCAACCCTTTTTTCTTTGGAGCCCCCCTTCCCCCCACTTATATCCAAGAAAAGCTGAGCCTCCCCAGGACCCATGAGATAAAAAGTGATACATTGCTTCAAAAATTAACATACATTTCAATAGTTAGAATATGTTCATACCAAAAGACTTTTGTATACATTTCCCAGTAATGTTTTACATGATTATGTTTAATATTTGCAAATCTAATTTTGACAACCTGAGAGCAGACAGAGCCCCACGCCCCTCTGAGATCTCAGATGACCTCAAGTTGGGAACCCACTGCCTTGAATGCATCAAAGAGAAAAAAGAAACCAATTTCAAAGCTTCACAATTTATAAAGTTCAAACATAAAACCCAGTGTTCGTTTTATTGATTTAAAAACTTTACTTAAAGAGCCCATATTATGCCCTTTTTGGGATTCGTATATTTAATCTATGTACCTACTAAAGTATGTTCACAATAGCTAAAGTTTGAAAAAAGTGTCTGTTTTCATACTGCCGCTCCATGCACCGGCTCGCTTCTGAGTCTCTCTAAGGCTCTGAAGTGCCCACGTTCAGAGTCCCCACGTGTGCCAAGTCTGATCTGATTGGTCGGCCTGTCGGCTCTGGCGTAATTGGTCAGTTGCTCAGCACAGTTCTCAGAAATGCCACGCCCCTTTTAGCATATTGGGAATGCAGCCACTGGCTCCGTCCGAGGGGAGCATAAACATTAGCACCTTAGCGCTACTGCAGGCTACGGCATATCGTGGGCGTGCCACAGAAGTTAACGGGCGGCAACATGAGCTGCTGGGCTTGCCACAATGAGCCAATGGGCTTAGATCAGTGATCTCACACTGACAATGACGTCGGAGTGACACATTTTTTTCGAGGGGGGCTAGAACCGAGCGTTACATGCAGCTAATGCTACAGCTAACAGGAGGAAGTAGGAGAAGCCGCGTTTCCGCGGACTTTGAATTTTTGCACATTGATGTGCCTAAACATGCACAGGACACTTGGAAAACACACTAAAGAGCATATAAACCCAGAAAAAGCACAATATGGGACTTTTAAACTATTTAAGTAATTTAAAAACAGTTTATAGGTGATAATCCTTGCACACACTGTTTTTGTTCACTATGCCTTGAATCAGAGCCGGTTCGTTATAGCCATGTGTGATTGGCAGCTTTCACCCCCGTGTGCGGATGTGTGTTGAGAGGCTGGTGTGTAGGAGTGTGCAAAGCCTCAGATTAGCAGTTGTGTATTTGGAAACAAGCACACAATATTGACATCTGTGAATATAGAAAATGTCACTTAAAGGTGGTTTAACTCATATTTAAAGACTGTGATGCCAAAGCAGAAGGCTGCTGATGTGATGTGAGAGTTACTGCAAATACTTGCACTCAACACTGGATGTCTAAAATAAATCAGACCTAACAAGTGACTGATTTATTTACATTTACAAAAAAATTGGTGGTTGTGTTATTTCTGCTCACAATAAGAAGATAGCATTAAGGCTTATTTTGCTACAGGTGCTTTATCGTGCAAGTATTTTTTCATCTATGTTTCTGAAAAGATCTGCTGTTGTTGTTGTTGTTGTTGTTGTCGTTTGTCGTCATCACCACTCCATTGTGACCACTGCATTGTCCCAGTTGGTCACCATGGATGGCCTCCATGTGTCCTTTAGCAGCTTGATTCTGTAGGTGAAGTCTGGTTTGTGTCACATTATTGCCTTGTCTGTGTAACTCACTGTCTTCCATGGTCTTCTTCACCCTCTCTCTCTCTGTCTTGCAAATTATGTCTGCCACTGACTGTCCATCACCTTCCAAAACAAAAACAAATGTGTCTTTTCTTGTCTCCTTTCGGCAGATGATAAGGGAATGTAAAATAGGCATCATTTTGAGTACAAAAACAAATCAAACCATCATCGGCATTTTTGTCTTAGTAAAGTAAGATCTATATAAGCCGCATTTGGGCGGGGCTAAAAAAGAGAAGGACTGTTGAAAGGAGACAAAGAAAAGAAAGGGGAAAGGGCCTGGTTGTGACCCTTCCATCATGTGCTGTTCCAGTGTCAGTCACGAAGTAGTCATTCCAGGCCTTCATGTGATTCTCCTCGCATCTTTCTCCCTAGTGTCTGGTTAGGTTGACCGTGATCACCCAAAAGCAGATCTTCTCCTCTGAAAATAAGGTTACTCATATCTCCTCCCGTGGAATGTGTAATGCCCCTGCACGGATTTCTTCTTCTTCTTCACTCACACATTATTTTGCTTGTCACTACTACTTAACTCCTACTCTTCAAGACTTGAATAAAAATGCATAAAACTGTCACAGAATGTTGTGGACCAGTTTTTTAATACACTGCTTAGCTCTGGCTTGAGCATGACTGAATGTGCGTGCATCTATATCTTGGCATCAGTGAGTGTTCTCGTAACCAAAACAAGATATGATGAAGCTTATCACTCTGACAGAGTTAACATTCATCAAAGACCCAGCAACTAAATGTTCCATTATGCTAAGCTAAACAATGACACTCGAGTTTGCAGCAGTTCCCTCAAGGCAAACCATGCATAGTGACTTACTTCCCTTGTGCTACTCCTCTACAAAATGACACACCCACCACGGGCATCAACATGTATGAAAAAAAAAAAAGATCTTTCAGCTGCTGTATATAATAAGAATACAATCAATTTTGATGACTGTAAACAGGGGGTTCAGACCCTAGCATTGCTTAAGGACTCCAGTGGGCAACACAGATGTTTGTTACAAAGACAGATTATTATTATTTGGATGAATTTTATTGGATTATCCCATAATATCTCCACGTTTGTCCCCATTGTAGCAGACTGTGTCTTTGGCCCATTTTGTTTTACATCTTCAAGTATCCCATTTAGTGTAGAAATGGTTATTATTAACCATATGTTGATGCCATACGTGGGAGTGTCCCATAACAACTCTTTTATTTCTGTCTAGAGCCACTGCTCTGTTTATAATTTGTGTCACTGTCACCTGTCCTAGGCTCTGGCCAGTATGAGCTTGAACACCCAGCCAATTCTGAACCTGGAGAAGTTTCAGGAAGGTCAGGAGATGCCCCTGCTCCCACCTGGACGAGATAAAGCTTCACCATCATCCACAGAGTTCAACCCTCTTATTTACGGCAATGACGTAGATTCTGTTGATGTAGCCACCAGGTGAGACGTTAATGTTTTTTTTTACATTTTTAAAGAGCCAGGGAAATAAAGGACCAAGGAATAATCAGGTCAATAATAATAACCAACATGTATCTGTTTGTTATTGCTGTTATGGATTTGGTTACTGATACTATGGATAAATTAAATGCCAAAATGTGAAGGTTATTCTACCAACACCACATTCATATTTAGAGAGCCTTTATAAACCCCTCCCAAAAAGAACTAATATTTATAGTTAACGTGTTTGTTTGTTAGGTTCTTTTAATATCTAGAATACTTACCAGCTTCATCTCCTTATTTTCAATCATGTTAAGGCTGAAAAGAACAAAGGGCCATTAGAACAACCTCACTCATTCTTAAACGTATTAATTGACTTATTAATAGGTAAGAACTTGTAATCCACTTTTTACTGCAGCTGTAAGCCTTATGCAATAAAATGTCTGCATTCCTGTGTCGTCATTCAACCTTTGCTTCTCTCCTCCTGCTGCAGATGAAGAGACTCATTTGAAACAGTACAGAAACAGGAACTGAGCATAGAGAGAGAGAAAGAGAGAGGCAGATAGAAAATATTCAATCAGGACTGACTGACATTAAGAGTATAAAGCAAAGCCATGAATTATCAGACACAATGACACAGCTGATATATCTAGCTGATGTTATGTATTGAACCTATTTATCAAATAACTACAGATCAAAATGGGTATTCAACTAAATTAAGTGTTTATCTTTCACAGGGTTGCCATGGTGCGCTTCTTCAACTCCCCAAATGTTCTCCAAGGGTTCCAGATGCACACTCGCACATTGCGCCTCTTCCCCCGGCCTGTGGTGGCGTTTCAGGCGTCTTCTTTTCTCGTGTCTCGGCCACGACGCTCTTGCTTTGCAGATAAACTCTCTCACACCCAGGCGGTGGAGTACTATGGAGAATGGGCTCTCAACCCTTCAAACCTTGCATTCCAGAGGATACACAACAGTAAGACTTGTTTCAGGTCTGTTCTCGTTAATATGCAAGTCAGACGACGTGTTAACGTTGTACTTCGCTCTCTTGTGTTCCAGATGTATTTGACCCCTCTTTAATAGGAGACAAACCTAAATGGTATGCTCACCAATTACAGCCAGTGGTCTACAGAGTGTATGATGGGAGCTCTCAGCTGGTTGAAGCTATGGCTGGTCCCTTGGAGGATGAAGGCAATGAGTCTGACCCCACAGACAGGTAGGCAAGACCAAGATCCTTTTCTGCATGAGACCCCATTTAATCTTTACTTTATTATTTGAAGTTTTTAGCTTTTGGTTGAACATTTTATTTGCTGCAGTGGCAGTGACAGTGAGGCGTACGATGACTCCAGCTCATCCTATTCTTCACTTGGAGACCTTGTGAGTGAGATGATCCAAGGTGACATCCAGGGAGACACACCAAGTAAGTTGTTTTTTTCTCCTCATTAAAAGCAACACATCGACCCCATTTTACTATTTCTGCCCTTGTAATATATTTTACCTTTGCTTTTTTCTAGGCTTGGACCCACCTACCCATGCTGCTCTGGGAGATGCTAGTGAGGTTGAGTTTAATGACTTTGAGGACTTCAGGGAAGGTCATGGCTCGGGTCAATCAAGCATTGACGGACCTGCTGAACCTTCAGATGGACAACCTCTGCGCTCCAGCTCCAGCACAACTGCAAGCTCAAGTCCAAGCACAATCATCCAGGGTGTCAACCATGTGTGTAAACTTTCCAATTAATGTATAATTTTCATTTTTAAGCATGTTGTTACATTTTGTTGAAACTTTTTTATCAAATTGTTATGACTCATTTGGACAGGGATTAAGATGATCTTGAAGATAGATTTGCACATTATACAATAATCCTTGTGCTGATTTTTCCAGGAGCAGGGTGAAGTACCCGAAATCGAAGCTTCAGCGAGTGCAGCTTTACAGAACCCTGTCCCTGCATTGGGCAGTCAGCCGTTCCTCAGACCTGCAGTTGACTCGGGACTGGCAGAACAAGCCAACAAAAAGCAGGAGTATGATAACCCGTACTTTGAGCCTCAGTATGGCTTCCCCTCAGAGGATGATCCTGATGCAGAGGAGCAAGTGGAGTCATACACCCCTCGATTCAACCAGAACCTCAATGGCAACAAGTGTGTTAAACTTGTTCATCACTTGAATGAATGCTCTATCATCATTCAAATGGGCTCTCTGACCAAACCATGAAATATAATTCTCTGTCAAAACACAGCATGTCAAATCTACTAATCTCTCCATTCATGGTGGTCTTGAATCTTTGGTGGTGTCATGTTGTGTGTGTGAATGCTTAAGACTTCCCCATTTAATTAACATATGTTTGTGTTTCAAGGATACATGGTAATTTCTTTTGACTTTTTCTCAGGGTACAGCGGCCTTTACGTCCCAGCAGCCTGAGGCTTCCTGGAGAGTCTGATGGGGAGGGAGACTCACGCAATAGCTCGCCTAACTCCACCATTTCCAACAGCAGCAATGATGGACTTGGAGGACTCATGTCCTTTGCCAGTAAGAATATTTGAATTCCTTTTGGTCTCTTTCCAGCTAATGCCCACATTGCAAAACATGATAGTGGGCTGCTATATGTGGGTGATGATAAATTGCAGACACAAAAGACAGATATCTCTTGTCAGACCAGAGATTTGACGCCCATTTTAAGGCTACCGAAGGTTTGCTTTATTACTCTTTTATGAAAGTACTCAGGCTTATAGAATGTTATTTTTTAATACTATTTTTCTTGTTTTTCTTAAGTGTTTTTTTTAATCAGTGTACTCCTGAAAATTTCTAGAAAACTTCAGACAGGGTGCCCCTGAAATCTTCCTGAGCTGCTTGTTCACACATATACTCACAGCAGGGGACGGGGTCTGAGGAGGCTTAGCAAGAATATTTCTAATTGCATTCTTACATTAGCTCACTTCAAATTCATGCTGAAGTTTTACTAGGGGGCAGACAGGAAAGATTTGGGTGAAGAGTGAAAAGATAGTGGCTGTTTGCGTTCACACTTGCAGCTCACCCCAAAAATTTCAGGAAGTTTTCAGGAGTTTTGTGCAAGTGTGAAAGCAACATGATTTTAATTTTATAAATCCCACAACAGGCAATCTTTACAAGAACCACGGCACCAGTTTTAGTCTGTCCAATCTGGCCCTTCCCAACAAGGCAGCAAGGGAGAAAACAACACCTTTCCCCAGTTTAAAAGGTATGACAACACTGCAAACTTGATAACACCTATTCAAGTTTCCTAAGTTTCATATATATATGTGTGTATATATATATATATACATTTTATTGTCCGCCCCAGTTGTTCAGTTTTCTTTAATGACAATGAAGAAAGAGTAGAACATGTAGAAAATGAATTGAGAATACTTATTCAGAAAGACGTTATCCCACTGTCATCAACATTAAGTTGTGTGGACTTACTCATCTAATTATTTTTGTTGCGCCACTGGCTTCATGTTTGCAGTCGTGTACCTCTTAAAAAAGATGTTGTTACTGTTTTATCTCAGTTATTAAACATTAAACTCAAATACTAAGATTCAATCTTCACCATACTCATACTTCTTATAATCAAGTTTAAACAAGTCATGAATACATTTGTGGAAACATAAGGTAAACCATAACTCTTAACACATTTTAAAACAATAAACCTTGATATTTTTATTTAGTATATTTTATATTTTTTTCCTAATTTGATTCATTTACTGTTTGTCCTTCTCTACCTTTTTGTTTTGACTTCTTCTTCCACATTTATGTCTATTTAAGAATATTTCAATGTTGATATAGAGGAGGAAATGGAGCAAGCAGGTTTGTAGAGCGGTTTTTTTTAAAGCCTGACTTTCTCCCCACTGTATTGCCAAACTGATATGGCACTATTTTAAAGGAGATTATTGAGGATATATCAAACAACATTTTTCTCTCAAGAGTAACAGGAAAATCCACTAGAAAACAGTCATTATTACATTTGTTCTTACCGTGGTGTTGCACAGTTTGTTCCTTCACAGATATGTTCTCCTTCTAATGACTGAACATAAATAAATATGCCTGTTTATTAACTTGTCTTATGAACCATTAGATAGTAAAAGTTTTTCTGCTGGACATTTTACATATGTGCAGCATAGAATTGTTCGAGAGAGAATAACTGAGAAAATACGGGTCTTGGTGTATTTTATAAGGAAGCATTAAGTGTAGACAATCTACACGCGCAGGAAAAAGATACAGATGTTTTATATCACATCAACTGCAGTCTTAAACTTAAAAGTTATGAACACAAGAGAAGGTTTATTATGCCCAAACATGGATAGATCTAAAGCACCAGAGACATAAATTGCACTGGGATAACAGGTCTTTGTAGTGTAAGAGGCTAGTATGAATGTATTTATAGCTGGATTTTCACTTAAACTGAGAGAAAAAAAGGTAAAGCATGGTCATTTATCTCAATAGCTCCACTCCATGTCGAATAGCTGCCATGGAAAATGTTCTGTTCCTTTGATTATGATGTGTGTTTTGTCTTTGTTGTTCAGATTCCCCTGACAGCCCGGGTATGTTATGTTTGCTGTGAGAGTTTGCTTTAGCCCCCCTGCCTAGGCATTTCTTTATCCTTGAAGTGACCTACACCTATCTTACACCCTGTTTCTCAGAGTAGGACTAAGATAGAAGATGCTCCTTTAATGTTAGTCATGTATGCCCGAGTCTTCTCTCTGCTCCTTTGCCATTCCCCTCTGTGTGACTTGTTGAGTCCTTTTAATGTACCACTGTGACTGTAAACTGTTATTGGTGTGGCATCTGTACATCCTTACTGCTACATGAAGGATGCTATGTAACATATTCTTAACGCACATTCACAAAAGTTTAGGAGAATTTAATGTATTTCCTCCCTTCCCGCCTATAATGTGTGTTTTGTCTTGCTTTCTTCTTTGGTGGCTCCCATTATAGAGTGTCTTACTTTTTAAGGTTACTCGTTATTAGAAAACAGACAGCATTTTAAAGCTCAAAGGTTTTCTTATGAGGTGTTTTTTTTCTTCTTGAATCATATTTGTATTAATATGTTTTTCCCTCAAAACATGCACAAATCCTAAGACAACTCCATCCATTGTTCTAGATTTACATTCACATTGCTGAACTTCACCGTTCAGCGTTATTTCACCACCGATGCATATAAAGCAAAGTATGAGCTATAAACAGTTCCTACTTGATCCTATACATGTTAAATGTGTTTCCAGACACATGTCATTCAGGATTGATAACATCATCAGTGCATATTGTCTTTTTCTTATTTATTGTCTGCCCTTTTATTTTTTACTTTTCAATTTGTTCTTTTGACGCCATGTTGAGTGTGCATGTCTGTTGTTTCATGGGTTGATGTTCAGACTGGTTGTGTCTGGGCCGGTGCCCCTTTCTCTGTCCACCTTTTTCGTGGCACTAATTCTGGGTTTTGTGTGCAGTATTTGGTCTAAATTCTCTAATGGAGATAATTACAGAGGCCGGCCCGGGGAGCGGAGAAGGTGGGTTCTGCCCTTTTACTGAGTGAGCTGCATGCTTCTCCAAGCCAGTCAACTACATCTCCCAGCACCCCCTTCTTTTTTACTCCTCATTTCAGTCACCATGTTGTCATGAAAAAATCAAGTGGAGTATTGAGTGTTGTCTTGTCACACCACCATCCATAGTGACTGTTCCTCCTTCCTCAGACTAACTGTTATCTCACTATGTTCAATATATTTACTAAACTAGCCTTATCACAAAATTATTTAAAATGACTTGGGAGTAAAACATGTTTTGTACCTAGTTCTACAATAAGGAATCAGAGGGAAAGTGGAAAGAGTGCATCATGCAGTGAAAAACCAAGACACAGAACAAGAATTTTGAGATAATTACAGAAGACCAGAAAAAAGATAATCTGTCAGCATCTTTTCTTTGTCACTGTTTCTTGTCCTTTTATGCTCCAACTGAATACAGAAGGGGGTTGGGCCCAATCATGCCGTAATTGTTCTGCACACAATGAGCAGTGACTACAAAGCGGACAAGTTAAGACTGCATTGTGCCAACATTAGCACTCTTCAGACTTTCAGGCTTGGCTGCAGTTTCTTCAGATTTTCAGGAGCATTTTGTGTTTTCTTTTTATGAAGGAGTTTGTAGATGGGGTAATGGAAAATAAACCGTCACTGTTGGTCAGAGTTATCACTCGAGGCTTTGGGCAGTTGTTGTATGGAAAAGTCAAATACTTAAGAAAAAGATTAGAAATTGTTAATTATTAAATTAACTTGCATGTTTTCAGTGTAATTTCTCTTTTCAAAAGCTTGATTGAGTATTCACTTTTTGTTGAAGGTTAATCATGTTTCTGTCATTTGGTAATGAGAAAGTTACAGATTTCACATTACAGGCACTGTGCATTCATATTTAGTCCTGCTGTGAGATAAATAATTCTATTCATCCCCAGAGGGAAAACTAGTTTGGTTGCCCATGCACAAAAACAAAAGATAACAAAACCTCATGGCAAAATACCACAGTGATACTAACACAAATGCACAAACTCTTATTCCAAAAGGACTGTTGGGTGTTTCAGATACTTGTCGAACAAATACGTTTAAAAATAGCATTTTAAGCCAACCAGAAAACAAGTAAAACCTTTTCAATTAAGAGGAAAATATCACATATACAAAACAGAACCCGAACCACAAGAAATGGCCAAGTATCACATGCTATTCAAGGCCCACAGCTGATGAAAGACCATCTGTTTAAATTGGATCTTGGGGCTTAGAACTGTCAGTGTGTAGATATGCATATCAAACACCCATCTGACTAAACAAACATGAAAACATCAACAAAACCATCTGTGACAACTACACATTGTTGACTTTCAACAATACACAGTACACTAGATTACAGACAACCTGTGCAAGAGCATAGTGCCTCCTGTACTTTAGAGAGATTATTGAATAAGGAGCCCCGGATGCTTTTATTGTGAAGTGCTGCTTGACCTACATGAAGGTACCTTCAGAGTGCCGCAAGCGTGAAGACAGTGATCCAAAATGTTTCTATTATTTGTAGATTTTCAATACAGACTTACACACATGTGTAAGTGAAAGTTTTCTAAGTCATCATGGCCTCTTTAGAAATGAAATCTATTGACATGGCAAAAAGTTGATGTTTTTGTTGTTTTTTTGTAATGCTGGTGTTATGGTTAAAAAAGTGGCCATGCATACTGGTGACTTTTGGCCAAATGTGTCTGTGTTTATCGTAGGTACAACGAAAGTTGAAGATGAAAATGGACCTAACGATTGCTGCTATGTTTAGTTTTTTTTATTGGAATGTCAAAAACACCAATCATATGTCTTTAACTACATATGTCTTTATTTGGCTGAAAGTTGCCTGTTAACATCGTTACTCTTTAAATTGTAAGCTTAAAAATCCAATAGATATTGATGGAGTGACTTTTTTTTCTTTCATCAGGGCATCACTTTGCAGCTAAGTTTAAAATAACATCATTTTCTAACTATGTCAGCAGGCTGACCTTTTTGTTCACTTGCATTTAAGCTCTTAATGCATCAGACTTGGGATTCAAATTGGCTTCCCTGCTATCACTCCCTTGTACCTCTGGTCAACAAATCATTTGATCCCTAAGATCAACGACCATCTAAAATAGCTGTATCCTCCATTAACCCACTGAGCTCGTCTAGCCACTTTGAAAAGCTACAGTTAAGAGCTGGGGTCTGGCCAAGGCCTGCAGGCTGTCCAACAAAACATATTGATGAAAGCATCTGGCTTGAGGCTCTACTGGAGCTCCTACTGTTTGTTTCCAACAAACTTTGTAATTTCATCCAGGATCTGTCTGCTTATATTCATGGTAGATACAATCTAAAAGCAGTTCCTCACTCTCTGTGGTAATGTTCATCATTCTTGTAAGAAGCCTTTGTGTTTCAAGTTGTTAAAGAACAGGTATGCAGTATTGGTTTTCAAACTTATGCTGAACAATTGTGCAATCATATTAACCAAATTTGTGTCCCTAGCCGTAATGATAAACAATGGCTCCCCGCTGACTCATCAAACTGACAATAAACTAAGCCTGCAGTGACACAAGTCGGATCAGAAAAGCTTTGTTTAGTCTTCATGTAGGAGTGTGCTCCTCCTCTATGCTTTGATGACTTAGAACGGCAAATAACAAATTGGATATATCTTGAGCTCATCCTACCCTTAGACATGTCTTCAAATATGTGTACTCACTATGCAGTCATCACAGCTTAGGACTGCAGGGCTGTGAGTTACTGCACTTAAATAAACTTTGTCAGGGTTGTTCTTCAACATGCCACATCTGCATGTGATCTTTTGTTAACTAAGGAAAATTGTAATGATTGCATTCATCCTTTATTGCTTTACATATTCCTTCAAACTTCGACTCCACTTAAACAAATGAGGTCTGGCCATATGTCCTATTAGTCTGGTCACACTAAGTTTGATCAGTTTGAGTTTTACTCCTTCAAAACTTGAACCAATGGAATGTATCAACAAGTGTGATGGACCATCACACAGACACGTTCCTGATTTACTCTGGATTTAGCCAAGAATTTGTTTCCCCTTCAGTGATTTTAAATGGGAACACATTGTTTTGCCTCATCTCTAGTTGCTCTATGTTCAGATTTTGAGGGGTCATGACCCAAGTACACAGCTTTAACAATAAACTATCCCTGGTTGGTAAGAAATTATGGGAGGCTCTCTAACTGTTTTAGAACTTCCACAGTCCATATTCTCACTCACTGGTACATCTTTACACACATTGGGGAGCTGGACTGAATATTACTGGACCAGATAAGCAGTAATATATCTGTGCTGTATAGCCAGACTTCACTGCATAAGACATCACATTAATGCATCCTCAAGCTATCTAAAGGTGCAAATTTATCTTGTAAAAGACACAGGTTAGAATTGCACTTGGAACTACTTCCTTTCTGTCATTTACCGAAACATTTTGAGGATACAAACAATTTTTTGCACCGTGTCAGACCAGCTGATATTTTAAAAAACCACATCAGGGGATTTTTTTGTCCTGAGTAGATGGGATGTGAAACATTGCTGCAGAGAGTGATCTTAAAACATATTTACATGCATTCATTTGGGGGAAAATGGTCTGCTTTAATGCGGAGAAGCATGAATTTGGAAATAACATCTGATTCACAAATAATGACGCTAATAGCCACGTGTGTAGTCAGGGTAAAACGATGTCTGTCTGCTGAGAGCTGATGGTAACTGCACCACATTTTTGTTGTAATGGTTGTCAAGCTCAAACTTTCCAGTGATCAGGACAACAATTCCACCTTTGTTTGACCTCAAAATAAATCGTCTTTGATTAAGAAGTCTGAAAATATTACATTGAAATTAGTATAATTATTTTATATATATATTATCAAGTATTAAATCCTTCCATGGCTGTGTGAGGCTGCTCAACCTGTCACATAAGGGCACATAACACTCTTACATGTATGGAGCGTCCGGGCCATTACACAGGACAGGAAAGAGAGTGATGGCTTGATCCTGGTAGGAAGCGTTGTATTAAATGATGAAACTTGTATCACATTTGTTGAGACTCGACTTCACAATAAACTTGAAAAGGTGAACCCTACCTTTCCAATTCATCATGTGTAAGTGGACAAAATTGAGCTGCATCAGCATGATGGTGCAGCAGCATGTGGCAGAGAGGGAAGATGAGGACAGCAAAAAGGGAGCAAACTGTAAGCACCAGTACAAACTTTATGGCCCTGTATGCTGTTGAATATTTTTTTTTTAGCGCAGCATTTTGTGTGAACTTGACCTTGAGATGGGAAGCTAGAGGGGACAATTAATGCGCAATTCATTGTGCTATTAGCGCCCGCAATCCCATTGATTCCCCCTCAGTTGGTTATAGATACACGTGACTTGTTGTTTTTCACCTCTTAAATGATCAAATTCTAAAATGATTGACCCAACCCCGAACACACGCGGTACACTGGAACATCCTGAACATGTAACAGAATTGCAGAAACATATCAAAACGAATGAGCTCTCCAAGTAGTATGACAGCTATACGTTTTGTTGCCATCCTCACATCCTATTATTTACCTCCATGCATGACATGTGTGACACACTATCATCTGTACAACCTCACATCTTTGTGCTGCTTTTGTGTGATGCCACCACCAAAAGCACCATTTTGGACTCCTGTGTGTGTACTGAGAGTGTTTTTATGTGCTCCTCGTTCCTGTGTGATTTGTCCTTCACCTCTCTTGTTATAATAATAGACTCTTGCAGCTCCAGTAATTTGTCCTAGATAACCTCTTTAGAATCCAGGTGTGTCTGTCCTCTTTACAAAGTGATGTCAACTGCTCTCCTCTTTCTTTTCTGTCTGATGTGGTAGCTTTAGAAAACATACTACTTGTTTGGAAATTGTTTCCTATCCTGGTTTACAGTTCCTGGTGAGCAAGTGCCTTTGTGTGTGCCCTTTCCATTTCTCCTGAGTACTCTTCTGTTTAGTGACCTAGTACTGGTTAGCATTTTTCTTTTGTTATTTTGGTTATCTTTCCATGTGGCCTTCAAAAACATCAATACTTTTGCTTTGCTTCCAGGAGCCCGTGCACCACGAGCACTCGTCGACCAGAAGTCCTCTGTAATCAAGCACAGTCCAACTGTGAAGAGAGAATCACCTTCCCCTCAAGGTCGGGTCAACAACACGAGGTAATGAATTCTTCCAAATGCAAAATTCTCTCTTGCAAGATTATTGATACAATCTGAACTGTGTTTTAAACCATATTTATAATCTCCAGTGTTCATAATCTGTGTATTGATAGATACTGTCTGAATGAAGTTTAGTGTAATAACCTTTATATGACTGGCACTGTGTCTTTTTTTTCTGATTCAGTGAGAACCAACAGTTCTTGAAGGAGGTGGTCCAGAGTGTTCTCGATGGTCAGGGAGTTGGCTGGCTCAACATGAAGAAAGTGCGCCGCCTGCTGGAGAATGAGCAGCTTCGTGTCTTTGTGCTGTCTAAACTGAACAGAGCCATCCAGTCTGAGGAAGACGCCAGACAGGAGATCATACGTGATGTGGTGAGATGTCCTCCAAACTGTTCACTGATGTGCAGACCAAGAATTACACAACACTGCCAACAAAGCCTGATGAATAAAAGTATAAATAAAATGTTTACATGTGACTCAATAATTTCATGCGTTTCAATTCCTTCAATCAGAGATCACATGCTGATTTTCAGACGTTATTATTTATTCCTTCAGTATTTTTAAAAATCTTTTTAGCAGGTCTAATTTTACTATCTTTGGGATTATTACTTGAAAAGAAAAAAATCCCCCACACTACTCTTGCGAAGTATCACCAATTTATTACCTTGACCTTTGTCAAGTGTGTTCCAAAGTACTTTGAGTTTTCTGTTGTATCTTTCATCACTAGTAGTACACTGATTTACACAAGTATTATATTGGGACTGCATTGAATTATAATTGTCATTATCAGTTATTCTGTCAATTGTTTCCAATGTGTTATTCAGACTGTTAAATGTAAGAAAATAGTGAAAGTGCCAAAGATGATGAATTCACGTTGCTTGTTTTGAAACAGCATGTCAAAATCCCTCAGTGTATCTTAATTCATTTATTTTTACCCTGGGAAATTAACAAATCAATTGATCAGTTATAAACAAAATTTAAATATGCACGAAGTGACCTCAGCATCTTAAGGCAGCATGATAACTACTAACTCTGTTGGTCAATTTTACAGAAATTGAACGCACCATGATTCTGACTGAACTTCACATTTTCTTGAGTTAAAAAGGAATATGTGATCTTCTTTATTATTCATTTTTTGTTGTATTTCTTTTATTTTCTGTCTTGTTAAATTCATTCCTAAACCTTTCGCTGTGTTTTGTTTTCAGGAGGTGAGCAGGAAAGTGTACAAAGGTATGCTGGACATCTTGAAGTGCACGGTTTCCAGTCTGGAGCATTCCTACACTAACGCAGGCCTTGGAGGAATGGCCAGCGTCTTCAGCTTATTGGAAATAGCTCGCACACATTATCAAACCAAAGGTATGTCCCAAAAGTTCAGCTCAGAAATGTGTACATTTAGGTTTGTTAAATTATTTAATCAGCTCATTATATTAAGACTTAACAGCAGCGGGCCTTTGCTACTAACACTTGTCTTCGTATTTGCATTGACCTTAAGCTTCAAGCTGCATGCTAGACATTGACTGAACTAAAACATTAACTCTAATTTCAAGCTTTAGATATCTTCACTGTTTTTCCTTTTTTGTCTAATACTGTTAATCCTCTTTCAATCTAATTCTCCACATATTTTCTCTTTCTGTAACTCCGTCTTTGGCCCTTAATTTCGGTAACTTGTTAGACCCAGAAAAGCGCAAGCGAAGCCCCTCAGACAGTGCTGGCAGCCCGGGGAGCAAAGAGAGTCCTTCTGGTCATATGGAGACTGCCAGACCTCAGGGTTTCCTGAATGTTCCCCACCTGCAGCTGCCGCATCACACAATGGGCAGAGGAGCCCGCCATTTTGATACCCGGAGTCTGAACGAGGAGAACTTTATTGCCTCGATTGGTGTGTACACCACCCTAAGCCGCGGTTGCATGTGCACTGTGAGATGTCCCTACCCTGTTCCTACCAGCTCAGCAACCTTAATATCAGCCCCCCCCCTCCCTCCCCTGCTCCAACCGTCTCAAAGAAAGATCCCCTCACTTGTCCCAGACAGATTCTTACAGGTGTTTTGATATTCCATACACTTTAACCTGGGACACTAGACATATTCATATAAAATTTACTACTGTTAATATTTCAAAATAAAATTTAATCTGAATCCTAATTCTGAGTTTGGCCCTGGTATGATCCTTGTAGATATTAAGTGGCATCCTAAAGTGTCTGGAATATTTCCCTGTGTTCAAGGCTGGACTGCGTGTGTTTGTCTCCCCTCCCTTACACATCTGTGCCCCTGTTTGCCTCTCTGGAGTTCTGTCATTAGCCTCTTAGCACCTTGAATGCATGTCTTTTGTATTTCTGGTCTTCCAATACCTAAATCTGCAGTAGTGGACGAGGGAAACCAGAGGTATGTGCAGAAATAGTCAAATTGATGCTCGTCTTTGCTGCAGGTTTCTGCGAGGCGTACTGTAGAAAAATGGCAGCTCCCTTTTGCTCTCAGCATGGAGGGTGGACGCATCACTCCCCAGTAAACAGTCCCAGTAAAGAGACAAATTTCACTGCAGAAAGTGTTTTCTATTGGTCACCAAAGTGACAAAGTCAAGTTACTAAGAGAATCCTTAGTAATCTTTTCTACAACTTAATTTTCTGAGAATGATGCTGGGTCTGTATACGGGGGACACGTTCGGTCAACCACCCTGACACCTCTCCTACCCGCACCCCTTCTTTTTCCTGTTAGAAGTTGCACCTTCAATTCTACAGATTGCTGTGAGACTTGCATCCCTGCTTCTGCAACTGCTCCATTTCACCTGCTGACTAGTCGGCCTCTCAACCCCATCCCATGCTCTTTTCCGAATCACCCTCTCTCTCTCTCACCTGTGCTCTGAAGAGCCAGACAAATGCAGTCAATGAAATCAGTGGCCAGTGGTCGGCGCTTACAGCTGATTCTGACATCACTGTGTGGCTCTCCAGGACTTAGGGCCAGGACCTCTGGGTGTGTTGTAATGTTACCTTAGTAGCTGTGACATTCAGTGGATCCAATTTGAAAAATAAAAGAGTTTTTTTTTTTTTTTCATTTTATCCAGATTAAAGCACAGCTACATGCAAACATTACAAAACACCGTCTTTAGTAATGACAGATTCTCAATGCTTATTTTGTTTTTGTTTGATTTTAATGCTCATCCACCATACATGCCTTTTCAACCAGCTCTCTGACTCTCTCTCTGTCTTTCTCTCCTTGCTTGCAATGCATCTTGGGTAGAATTGTGGAGCAAGCACCAGGATAAGCAAAAAGCTATGGAAAAACCACAGAGTAAGAGACTTTTCACACACCAGAAAAAAAAGAAAGAGGATTGGGGTGTTCAGCTGTTGACCTTTTTTTCAACCCCCTTCACTCCCATTTTTATAAATGACCAGTGTCTTACCTGAACAGCTGCAAAGAATCGCTTCTTAAGGAAGTATCAGAATGAATAGAAGCAAAAAAAAAAGAGTCTTAGTGTGATATTAAAATATCAAGAATGCACATGGGCTTGACTACTGAGAAAATTAGATGTCTCAGTTGTGTAGCTTCTGCACACAACACTGTTTGTATCCTATAGTGATACAACAATAACGGCATCTGCTATAAGACAACCCAGGGTCAAATAATTCCTCTGTGTAAAATTAAACCAATGAATGCTGTGTCTAATCGAGACCCAAGATGGCAGCGGGTGTAGGTTCTGGTAAGTATACGCTAGCTTGATGCGAAATCAGGTCGTGATGACTTTCCATTTGTATACATTCATGCTGTAGCTCAAAGGTAGAATGCAGAACAAACTGTATAAGCTAACACGTGTGATAGTGTGGTGATTTATGAAGGGTTTTTGTACTTTTTTCCACTTTTCCCACTTTTCAAACTTTTTTTTTTTTTTTTTGAATTCTTCACATAAGAAATATTAACAAATACAACAAAGTCCTTTGGGCTGTTTGAGGGACCTTAAATTAAACATAGTTATTGTATTACCAACATAAAGGCACCAGTTTAAATTCAAGCAATTTTTTTTTCCAGTCTGTTTTTATGCTTGACAACATGCATCATTAGGAGTAGAGATAAATATCTTCTGCACTGTCCTGCTGTTGAGCTGTATTTTTTCCGGTTGGATTGCTGTATTTACAGTTTTCAGAATTGCTGGCACATTTCGAGGCTATATTATATGGTTCATAAGTTAGGTGTCAGGACAACCTGGGAAGTGTAAGGATGTATTTGCCGTTTCGTCTGCACCTACTCAGGTGATAAATGACAAAATCTTGACACCAAAATGTCACCTTTACTGTCCACCAGTTTGTCTGCATGCCTAACTGCCTGTGTCTGTTTGTTGTTTTTGGTGTAACTTGAGCCATATTTGCAGCATTGACTGAGAAGTAATGTCGCGCTCTTGCAGTTTTTGTTTTTTCCCAGTTTTATGGCACTCTCTGCTTGCCCCTTTGTAACTTCTCTGTCTGCTCTCAATCACAGTTTAGCAGCAGTTTTTTACTGTATTTTTAGATGTGTGCAAAATGTATGAAACAAGTTATCTTACTTTTTAAGATTGATTATATTCATCCAGTATGTTCAGCTAAAGCAAATAAAGGCTTTAAATCATTCATAGAAACAATTTCACCAACATAAATAAGGTAATGTCGGCTTTGCTGTGTCACAATTGTAATTCAGTGTTTAAATGAAGGCTTTGGCACTTAAGCTGGACGTAGCATCAGTGTTGCTGTGCTGTGGTGGCTTTAAGTGAAGCAACTCTCAGTAAGGCAAAAGATGAGACTCGTTCATGAAAGCGTGCTGACAGTCATGTCTGTCCTGCAGGGTCTGATGGATCAAAGCAACAGCGCCCCCAGGTGATTGATGCAGAGGAGAAGAAATCACAGATCAGTGCTGACAGTGGCCTCAGTGTCACATCTGGATCTCAGGTTATTATTTTTAGAGTATTTATGTTGGATAATATGATGTTGCAGCCCACAATGAATTTAATAAAGCTATGAAGCCTTTGTGCACTTATTAATTCAATATTTGAATGTTTTAAACAACTCATGGTGCATCACCTTTCCTACTACTTACCAATAATTGTACCACTGATCTCTCTCTCTCTCTTTTGGTTTCCTCTATCCGCTCTTTCTCTGTATAGAAAAGCGACACGGAGTCTGTAACGAGCTCAGAGCCACCGATCCTGACGAGGAGCACCAGCCAGGACTCAGGAGGCCAGCACAGTGGTAGGGCACAGCCAACTCAGATACTATTCACTTTGTTCTGCCCTGTTCCTGCAGCACAGTGCTTCAACACATTAGCTGTAGACTCCAGGGTGATAATTGTGATCCAAGTTATTTTTACATCACAAGGAATCTGAATTGGTCTGATGGTTCATATGGATGGAAACTGCAGAGGCGATGAAATGAGAATATAAAATGTTAATATAAGTGTAGAGAATCTGAAATTAAAAGTGTTTTCTTTCCAAAAACTACAAATTCCAAACAAAGGAAAGAAAAGTAGGAGGCGTATTTGGCTGGTTGGTTGTGTATTTTTTCAGAAAGGAGTAGTTTATAAGTGTTATCTTTATTTGAAGACTGTGAAGTTGGATTTACTTCCCCTGTGTAAGGGTAATTGCCTGTATCAGCATTTTTTTTTACACCTGTAATCCTTTAGCCCTTTCTCTTAACTGGCCAGACAGTGCAGATTATTATTAACTCAAGCTTTGCAGTAAGACGTCATTCAAGCTCATAAGCTTCTATTTAATTTTTATTGAAGAACTTTAAAAATGTTTAAAGATGCAATACTTGTCAGTCAGAACTCTAATGAATCTTGGAAACAAAACACACCTGTGCACCCTGCCAATCACATGATGACATTTCAGTTCTCAGATGACGGGATGACGAGGAACATGATGGAATAGTTCAACTATCAAAAATATGGAGACTTGGGTTATCATATGTCATGTGGTTTAAAATTCCCCAATTCAATAATGAGCTGGGTCAACTGATGAAGAGTACACTATATACTCTGAAGAAGATTTAAAACTATATTTTTTTATATGTTTAAATGGATGCATAAAGCTGATTTTATACTTAACCGTCTTCATGTGAGACATCCCCACATTCTGTGTATTTTGCCCTTACACCAGGATTTCTATCTTTCAGATAAGCAACAGCTCTGGTGAGACTCTTGGAGCCGACAGCGACCTCAGCAGTACAGCAGGAGACGGCCTTGGTGGGCGGGTTGCTCCTCATTTAAATCAGTCTAGAGGGACTCTTTCTGACAGCGAGATTGAAACCAATCCTGCCACAAGCACAGTGTTTGTAAGTATTCAACTCAGTGCAGCTGAAAAAGGGAGATTATACCGTTGTTACTTTAGATAAAAACTTAGTTTAAATCAGAAAATTTCATCACAACATTTATCCATTTCTACTTACGAAGAAGTCATCTACTTATAAACAACTACCTACAAGGTGTCTTTAGTTTATATGATTTAAAAGAGAAAAACTTCAAGAATGCTAACTAGATTTCCTGAGCTTTAAAATGTGTGCTGAATAATGTGAGAACATTTTAAAGTCCTGGAATTTTGTTCTGTTTCTTCTGCCATTCAGAGTTTGTTCTATGCTAAGGCTCAAATTGTGGTAAAGATGTGAGAGAACTTTAAGAGATCAACATTCGTTCACTTTTCAAAAAAAGGCTGAATGGTCAGATGACAGAACATGTAGAAAATAAATTCCCTCTCTAGACGTTTTTTGTCTGGCATAAGACCATTCTGTTGGACAGGAACACGTCTCTGGACTCTCCTTGACCGAGTACAAGCAGTGCAGAACACCTGACAGTTATAAGAAACCGTGGAAGCCCAGAAATATTTCTGAGTGATTGAAGATTGATTCCAATGAAGGGCCAGACATGTGGTGTGCAGAACAGGAACACTTTGTTTGACTTGGCTCAATGGTTCAGCATCTACCCAAAGATACCAGATCACAGAGCACTGAGCTGGGGTTAGGCAAAGAGATCGCGCATCGCATTTGATATGATACTGCTTCTCTGACACTTTGGGAAACAAAAACAAAACTCCAAAACTCTTCATCGTGCTCTTCATCGTTCAATGTTTTTGGTGCACCCGCACCAAAAACATTCACAACAACAAAAACTTCACAGAGAAAGGGTGGGATGACCCTCACCTTTCTTCCTCAGTAGCTGTTTGCTGCTCTTGCAGGGCACAAACTAGCAAGGATGCTGCCAGCAAAGGTGACTCTTTCACTCGATATGCTGTATGTGGACAAACTGCAAGATACGGTATTTGTAGCCTGTGGACCTGTGAACATTCTTGGGAACATGTGTGCCTTAGGCTAAAGATATATATATTTTTATTGTTGCAGAAGATACTGCTCTAGGAAAAACAGTAGTTGCAACATTCAGAAAAATAATTATAGCCCCCCCAGTGTTGTTGCTGCTGTATATGGCCCTAAAGTCTATCCACACCTTATAAAGATGCCTCAGCAGAGTTGAGAAAAACCTGCATTCCTTGTCAATACTCCAGTGATACCAACAGATATTTCTTTGCACATTTTCCACTTGCAGACCAGACAGAGAAGTTACAAAGTATCATCCAGACTCAGTGGTGTAAACCACAGTGGAGAGCCTTGTCCTCGTACTGGATGCACAATGTGAGAATTGTCTTAGATGTATGCTTTACTACAGGTCATATTAAATCAAAGTTGTCTAAATAATATGGTCCTGAGTTTGATCACTACACATGCCTAATGTGCTTGGGTAGGTGGCACATATCAGGGGAAGATTAACAACAATACCCCCCTCTAGTCCCAGATCCAAAGTACTCCATCACTGAACTTCTAAATAAACATTGATGAGAACAACTACAGCAGTTTTTGGAGAGGAGGAGTGAGAAAACCCAACTCTTATATCCATCTGTAAGAAATAGAAGGCAAAACCTCTGATTCATCTGATGACTGTCATGTTTCTGTCTTGCCTACACTTGTTCAGTCCTTCTGTGTGGTCCGCGGGGGATGGTATGCCTCAGCAGCTTCCTCATTAGACCTCAACAAAAAAAAGATGAGGATGACTTTTGAAATGTCTTCCCACACACTGCAGCCATGTAGATTTTCTTCTCCAGTCTGAATAGCTTTCAAGTGATTTCTGCCACAATTCAGCACGGAGGTTTCTTCAAGGACATTTCAGACCTTTGCACTGACTTCATCAGAGGAGAGAGAGTTGCAGGAGGCGTTTGATCAGCCAAGCACTACCCTTCAGACAAACCATTAAGTTGATTGGTATTCCTGTGGCCATATATATCCAGAGGTTAATAGTATTAGAACTGAAGTATCTGCAGTACTTATGATGCTAAATGATCAAAATAGAAACACATGAATTAATGCTTAAAAGTGAATGAAACTTTGCTACACAAACATTACTTTTTTTTCTTCTATTTTCTGTTTCTTCAGGGAAAGACCCACACTCTAAAACCGGGGGCAAAAGATCATGCACATAGTATGGCAAAGGGGCAGCCTGCACAGCCGATGGAGGACATCAGTATGAGGATTTATCTCTGTGAAGGCCTGCTGGGTATGTCGTGCTGTCTCCTTCCGATTCTTCCTCTGTTTGTTTTGCAAAAAGATGGCATTCAAATATATCCATCCTGTGCTCTTATAAAACAAATACTAATCCTATAAATCCTGATAACACATTACACAGTTTTCTGAAACATCTTCTCACACTCCAGATTTTTCTGCATTGCTTTACTAACTTTATCTTTGTTTAAAAATGATTTAAACTACACAACCTTAATTCTTAAAGATAAAACACATATAAGGAAGTTGCTAAGTGTTGTGACCTTTCAATCACTACAACTTGTGCAACCTCTCGCCTTCGATTGTAACCACGGTGAACTTTCACTAGTCTTGGTAGGGGTTATTTTGAAAAGAAAAAGCAGAATTCGGACATGTGAGAATGTTAAGTGATGAAATATTAAATATTTCTGAAGAAAAAGTGAACTGAATGTCTGTTACACGGTGAAAGGTTATACAGTGACATCAGCATTTTTTGTAAAACCTGACATTTGATATTAGAATGTGTTGACTTGAGTTGATGTGACGTACTTTACTTGCATGTCTAAGCAGTTTGTTAAAATAAAACCTATAATAAAAGATAATGAAATTAAAGGTCAGATATAAAGTATACAACAATAATTTAAGAATGAATTGAAATTAAAGGAATGTAAAAAAGTCATAGCTTCAGCTTCTACAAAGTAATTGATTTTTTAAACAATATATTGAACAAAAATAAACAGGTTGAATTAAATTGACTAAAGTTAAACTGAAATCTTTAATTTTGTAAAAAAGTATGGACCTATTTGAACATCTCATTTACATGTCATCTCCAGAACACACAGCATTTTCTCACTAGTTGTTTTTGCTCAGCACATTTAAAAAGAAATACATCTTTCATAAAAGAGAAATCTTTAGGCTGTAAATAAGAAGGTAGACCTAGCTCGGTACGTCTATGTAAGTCCTGGGTTTTGTTCCTTTGGTGTGGTTTCTCGGCTCGCTCTCTTCTTGTTGTTGCTATTAAACCTACTCACCTCTTCACCTAACCCCCTCCTGCTCTCGCTGCTTTGTCCCTCTGCTGCTGTTTCTCCTGGGGAATTCTTCCAGGCCGAGATAAGAGCTCTGTTTGGGATCAACTAGAGGATGCTGCCATGGAAACCTTTTCTCTAAGTAGGGCTAATCCTTTGCCTTTGCCCTTCTTCCTGTCTGTGTGTGTGTGGTGGGTGTGTGTGGTGGGTTTGTGTTTGACATGGATCCATTCTTCCCTGTAGAGTAGCTCTGTGTGTTATCTGTTCTGGGATGGGAATGTGGGTTCCTCCTGTCTATTTGTGAGCTGCACATCTGTGTGTTTCTTCACATGAAACAGAAGTGGAAACTATGAACAGTGCTGCATATTTTCCCTCAAAAGGAAATCAAAGAAAGCTGGATTTCAATTCACTTTTACTCCAACTTCTAAAAATGTCTGCGCACCTGCGTTTCCCCAAGTTTTCAGATTAACTTTCTTATTGACCGAAGCTCCAAATTTAATGGGTTTGCATATTGGATGAGTGCATGTTGCCTTCAAGTGCTGTGAGAAATGTAATTATGAGAGTAGCACACTCAAACGAGCCACCGGCTGGTAAATAAGATTAGGACATGTCGAGCTTTCCAATAAGTTACGGCTTATGATAGAAGTGGGGAAATGGAACTGGCTAGACTGCTGATATTTAGACTTAAATATTCGATTCCACATTTGTAACCTGTCGAAAGTTGGTTCATGTTTTATTTTAGTTTTAAGTTGCCACAGATTTAAGTTTTATGGTTTCAATAATGGTGTGTGTATTTGAAACCTAATTTCTTTAAAAAAGGACAGCAAGGAAAAGTAAAACCAAAACAAGAAATCTGAACTCTACAGCCATTTAGCACTTAAAGGCATCATCTATAAATGTTAGCCCTTGAAAAGTATTCAAGTAAAGGTTTTATTGGACCTGTTCAAACCTCCCTCCTTTACAGTGTTACACTACAACAAGCATTATTACGTGTAAGTCATGTCTCACTACATGACTAAGACAAATGCACCTCTCACTTTCTGAAAGTACTTGTGATTTGAGGAGAGCCACAATAAATGGTTACACTCAATGTTGACACAATGTTAGTCTTTCATGACTAAACTTTGCAGCAATTTTTTCCAAGCTTTAGAGAGATATCATCATTGTAAATGAATAGTGATCTCTCTATGACTATCATGTCTTCTGTAAGTTACTTTAGGTAGATGTCCTTAAATTATTTGGAGTAAAAAAGTGCATGCTTGTGGCTGCACTTTGATGCCTGTTTTTGAATCAATCAGTTGTGTTGTTGCTGAAATCTTCCAGTTTTGCAGGTCTTTAAGCGCTACATGTGAGCTGTGTTGATCTGTTCAGGTAAGGAGCGCTCCACACTGTGGGACCAGCTGCAGTTCTGGGAGGACGCATACTTAGACGCTGTGATGTTGGAGCGTGAGGGCATGGGAATGGACCAGGGACCTCAGGAGATGATTGAAAGGTGGATTTTTATTCCAGCAGTTTCCTGCCTGATTTTTAAAAGAATTTAATACCAAAATATTAACATTTTAAATTTGTATACCACCTTTTTTTTTTACATTTATTTTTCTAATTCTGGTCTGGACTGGACTTGCTCTTTTATGTTTTGTCTGATTTCTGCAGATACTTGTCACTAGGAGAACATGACCGCAAGCGTCTGGAGGACGATGAAGACAGACTCCTGGCCACCCTGTTGCACAACATGATAGCATACATGCTGATGATGAAAGTACGGACACCTGTTTGTAATTTTTTAATCATCAGACATTGTTTTATGATCTACACCAAGTATGATCATTTGTTATGTCAACGTTTGTTCCTCGTGTCTGTTTTTGTTTAGTTGACCAAAAATGACATCAGGAAGAAGGTGAGGCGCCTGATGGGGAAGTCTCACATCGGCCTCTCATACAGCCAAGAGATCAACGAGATTCTGGACAAACTGGCCAACATGGTGATTTCTTGTCCCTTTTTTTAAAAGTCCGGTTTATCAAACTTCTATTCAAAAGAATTTGAATGAAATTTCCTTTTTTTAAATTTGTACTGAACATATTTTGTAGAATGGCCGTGAGCTGCCCATCAGGCCCAGTGGAAGCCGGCACATCAAAAAGCAGACATTTGTTGTACATGCTGGCACTGATACCACGGGAGACATCTTTTTCATGGAGGTAAGCAGGTCTAGAATTTGTAGTTTTAACTCAGCCCACTGACGTATTATCCATTTTTGTAGATCTGAGTTATGTCTAACTGAAACATTGAGTGTATAGTGTTGCTGCATAATTAAATGTTCTCTATATGGTTTTAGGTTTGTGATGACTGTATAGTCCTGCGCAGCAACATTGGCACAGTATACGAGCGCTGGTGGTACGAGAAGCTCATCAACATGACTTACTGCCCTAAGACCAAGGTGCTGTGTCTCTGGAGACGCAACGGCCAAGAGACGCAGCTCAACAAGTTCTATACCAAAAAGGTAAGATCTGCCTCCTCCCTCCTGTGCTTGAATTCACTTGAGGATGAGATTGATGACAAAATTCAAATTGCTTTCCTGTCTCCTTGCAGTGTCGTGAACTCTACTACTGTGTGAAAGATAGTATGGAAAGAGCTGCAGCAAGACAGCAAAGCATCAAGCCAGGTACAAATGAAGAGTGTGTGAATATGCTGGGCCTCTTTTTTGTCTTTCAATAGAGGCTTGCTGTGTTTTCATTTCCTTTTCTTGAATCCTTTTAAATGCTTCTGCCAGTATTGTATTTTTATGCAAGTTTAGGTCATAAAAATCAAAAACTTTTATAGTTTTTAGGGATTTTTAAAAATCTGTATTTCTTAACTTAAGTATTGATTCCTGCAGGCCCCGAGCTTGGCGGAGAGTTCCCCGTCCAGGACATGAAAAGCGGTGAGGGTGGACTGCTGCAGGTCACGCTGGAAGGAATCAACCTTAAGTTCATGCACAGCCAGGTAAGAGGCCAGTACCACGGCAGAGAAAGTGGCTCTCATCTCACACAAGGCATGAAACTAAAACCCACTCATGATGGTTCATCCCCTCCTTCTGTCCAACTCTATACTCATCTCTCCTGTTTGCCTCATTTCCTTTAGTTCTGTGACTTCTTCCTCTATTGTCATAAAAAGAATCTAAGTAGTCCAAACGTTAGTGTGACATGTTTGATTGGCATTTACTTGTACCTGATGTTTTCCCCTTAGAGGAAGAGTTCCTGTTTGTGCTTTTGCTTTTTTTGATTTGCTTTTTTCAGTTTGTGTTTGTTCGTGTGTGTATGTGTATGTGTATGTGTGTTCATATGCATGCCTCTTCCTAAACAATATTAACACACTCTCCCACACAAGTTTCTTTTGACATCCATGGTGCACAAACCTCATTCTTCATTTACCGGATGTGAGGCGAGAAAGCGTGTGCGTGTGTGTGTGTATTTGTTGTGCTTCGATGGTAAGACGGATGGCCTTGAGCAAAGACTTTTCATTAATAATTGGCTATTTAATAGCAACTCTCACATTTTAAGTTTGGACCCTTGACCATTGTCTTGTGTTGTCATCACACCTGCAGCGTAGTCATAGTCGGGTTTCATGTTCTTCCACATGTTGACCAGCAGTATTCTTCACCAAATATCAAACATTAAACTGATCAATTATTTTTAGGGGCAGTTCCACCAAATTACAAGACATCAAGACATCTTTTCTCTTAAAGTCATGTGGTTTTCAGATGCTGATATATGATGTGTATCCAGATCTTCAGAAAATGGAATCTCATTTGTGGTGCTTGGAGAAGTTCTTTACAATGATTCAGCTGCAACAAAGCTCTGTTTACTTAGAATAATCCACAAACCTCACCATGGAGAGTTTTCATTGGAGCTACTTTTTAACAAACGGTTCAGACAGATATTAGCTTGTTTCTGCTCCGTAAATGACTATTAATCACTCTGCTGTCCTCTGAGAGAGAAGCAGCACTCGGAGGGAATAACTATAACTTCGTACAGAAGTATAACGTTTACTTTCTAGTGATATATGTGTAGTGCAGTTTGCTTGTTTCTCATAATGTCAACTTAAACTAAGACTGAATATTGGCTCATTAGTTCATTATGTTAACAATATATTCAATTTAATATGAACTATTTACTATATTCACACCAAAAGAGTCAAACACAAAGATAGTTTGAAATGATTGTCTATCATTCAATCATTGCATCAATAGATCATTAACTCATTGTTTTGTATCCGTCTTGATCTACTCTTAAATGTTTTCTCCAAGCATCTCAATGTAGAGCACCACATTTCTAAAATTAATTTGTTACGTTAGCACCATTGCGTCCCTTGTTAAACTATAAGAATGAAACATCATCATGAATAGAGTCAGGTGTTTTTTTAGCACATTACTTTCAGCAGGACTGTATCCCATTTAATCATAGACTGTATGTAAGAAGTAGACTTAGCAGCTGGGAGGTCTCCTGTGAGTTTGAATGCCGTTTGATGCGTTGAATTTGACATTTTGCGAGAAGCTGGAAAAAGTGAGCGGTTAGAAGAAAACACCGTGACGTTATCCAAAGGCTGCGCTAGCTTGGAAAGCGAGGTTGGTCTGTTATTCATGGTAGCTGTGAGATCAATCAGGATGCAATATGTTTTTTTAAATGACCAACTGACTCCTCAGATATTCTTTTAGTACAGTTTCATGCTGGAAAAAGACATTTTTCAGATTCCTGTGGTAGAAAATGATCTAACTCAGTAAGCCACGACCCCTTGATTTAAATGGGACTGTTATAGTCGTGATATCATGGCGTATCTACTGTTGAGGAAATTACTAAGCCTTGACTCCACACAATAAGATTCAGTTGACTCAGATGGCTTACGTTGATGAAAGTTTATACATAAGAAGAATACTCATGAGGAGACATGATTCAACACTTCTGTACTCGTGTCTTGCTAAACCACGTCTGCCAAACTTTTTGAAAGGCATATATCCCAAAAGACATTACCATTATCAGGGTGGTGTCACATTGACCGACCTAGACTAAACTGTGACGTCTATAACACTGGAGCAGACAATAAGTCTACCAAACATCCTTACAGATATCAGGAAAAACAGTTGACACTCTCTAAGCTGTACTTGGTGTTAATAACAGCTGAACTCTGTCAGGTCTGACTGACGTTAGAGAACAATGAATTAACATAATGACATCTGTACATTATAATCTAAATAACTAAAGAAATTCCACCACATCCACGAAGACTTTAAATAAGACATCAACTTCAGGAAAATGGTTACTTAGTGTTTGTATCTGGTAGACGTCCATACAAGTCTTTTTATATACATATATTTTATTGTGAGCGAACAGCTGGGTGAACCTGAGGAAGCTACAGGCGAAACGCGCTGTTCACTCTCAGTATAGTTAAGTTATTTGCAGTGTGCCACGGACTTCAGATTTTTTTTTCTTTGTTTGTTCTTGCAACCGTGCATTTGAGAACATGTTTAGGCTTCGCACGGGGCACCATGTTGGCCAAGTAGATAAAATACAAGATGTCAACACGTTGGAATTAGCAAAAAGAAAAAGCTAATTTATACTTAGTCCTTGTGCAGGACACAAATTATTAAAAGACACTTCCCAAACAAAATAAACAATCTCATGTTTATATGTACCCAGTAAAATGCCATTCAAATGGCCCGCTGACCATGAGAAAGAACATCACTGTAAAGCTCTTTAAACGTTGACTGTGTGGACCAGAGTGTCCACTTCACATGTACAGTCTATTGATTCATCAAGCCTCATGTGAGCATCATAGACAGTTAGCTAAATCATTGGATGGGCCGCTCTACGGTGACATGGCATTGACACATCACACATTGTAGCAGGGTTTACCTGTCCATCAGTGACTGCCCTCATTGTTCTGCTGTGTGCGCGGTGGTGTTGGTGCCAGCCGTTGTTGCTGGAGGAGGAGGCATGGAGGGCTCTGGGGGACTGAGATGTTAAAAGTCCATGGAAATCAAAGGTGAATCCAGATCTCAATACCCTAGCCAAACCTCTAGCCCTCTTTTTTTTCCTCTTACTTCCTAGTTTTTTGGGGCTGATTTTTCTTGTGACTTTTCAAAATAAAATATTGGCTCTGATAACGTCTTAGCTAGATTCTTGATTTTTGAATCGTTTACGATGGCTCCTGCGGATAGCGCCCTCTCGGAGTGTCGTCGAGTGTTTGTGCTCTTCTGTCCGATAATAATCCAAACCATTTCTCTCCCATGCTCTCTCCCCCTGCAAGGAGCGGAAGGTACACAACCTCTGCTGTGTTTGCTTTTTAGCAGTTACATCTTACTGGGTTTTCCTTTGTTGTTCTTCTCTATCTTTTCTTTTAACTCTTCTTAGCTGTTTGTCAAACCTAATTTTGTGTCTTTGTCTACATTTTTTATGGAACTTCCATGTATGCATCATATGGGCCATATTGCATCTCTGAGCATAAATAGATAGAAATGTGTTGTTTAATCTATTCTTGATGTTTACCTTCAAGTGTAACTTTAAACTTGTGCTACATTTATGATACCAGTCATATGTTGAATTAGCTTTGACTTTAAAAACATTTCTCCTCATTGAACCGTCGCCCATGTATGCGTTTGATCATGGAAACTTCTCATAGTGTGCTTTTCTTTTCCTTTGGTTAGCCGTTACAAGCTTGCACTCCATGTGTAGTTGTTTTATTTTGACCTTTCATACTGAATAAAACAAGTTTAACATGGTTAATTTAGTCAATATGAAGTGTTTACTTTTCATCCAGTGTTGTTGAGTTAATAATGTTCTGTCTTGTTTTGTTTGTTTTTTGTTTGTTTTTAGGTTTTCATAGAGCTGAGTCACATTAAAAAGTGCAATACAGTGAAGGGAGTCTTTGTCCTGGAGGAATTTGGTAATTACACCATCTATTGATTCTAGGCCTGTACTCGGCACGGCAGTAACTCAGCTTCATGGCTAACGTGGTGATGAGAGCTAATAAGGGTTCACTAAATTGGATACTTGCTCTCTACGAGGGACAACCACACAGCGACGTTTGTAGGTGATTAACAGAGTGAGGAATTCTTCAGAGGATGAGGTGTTTTTTCAGTCGCATTGAAGCATGGAGGTTTAGAGCGAGCAACAGTTCGTTCAGGGACACGGTTTATGAGAGGAACACGTTTGCACAGCATAAAACAGCTGTGGGGACAGACAGGAAAGGTACTAAAAAATGTTCCATAATAATAACTGAGGCACAATTTGAAATAGGATTCATTAAAGTGCTTTACAGTCAGCGGGCGAGTTCTAGCAAAAAGAGAAGATACTGAAGGCTGAAGAGAGGATACATTTGTTTAATTTGTAATTATGTTTTCAAATCTGGTGAAGGACTCAAATGTATAGAAATGAAAGAATGATATTATTACGCAGAGAGCTCCAATGTTGTCCAAAAAAATCCTTTCCAGTTATCTACTCTGTAGCTTTTAATTCATTCATTACTATGAATTTACACAATTACCCTGTTTATTAATGACCCACTTAATCCTGTTGGTGTGTATGAATCCACAGCAGAAAATAGTCCCAAACAAAAGCAACATTTACACCTGCCTGAGAAGTTTGCTCATACACTCTGGTGATATATTAGTTAAGATAGTTTATTTGATACATTCTTGAAACCTTATTAGAGAGTTTAATCCAAAAACAAAGTTGGACTTGGTGGTCAGTGAGTCAAAGTGTTGTAAAAAATGGAAGACAGAAAGGAGGTTTGTGTTGAGGGTCAGGCTGCCTCTGAGTTTAGACCGTCGTGAGCAGGTGAGTTATGCTTTAGTGCACAGGTTACATCTCTAGAAAGAAGTCAAAAAAAGATGACTTACTGAGAAGATGTCAGAGGTTGAAGTAGAGTGCCAGGCTGGGTTACTGCCGTGTCTCTGTGCTGCTTTTGTAATGTTGCCCTCATCTTTGCCACTATGAAAACCTTCATTCTCCAGCAGGTAAAGTGTTGTCACCTTTCTCCTTTCTTATTCAATGCACAAACTATTTTCAATCTCAAAACCCTTTCATTGCTTTCTTTTTGTTTCTTTTCCCCCCCTGCTTCCTTCATCACTTGCTTTCCATTTTGGAGATCACTACCCAGTCCTCATCTCTCATGTTGTCCTCTTCCTCTGATAGTCTGCCTCTAAATCTCAGCATGTGGAGATCTCTTGTGGGGAGTTAGCGGAGGGATTTAACATTTCCCACCCCCCCTCCTCTTCATCTGTCCAGATCTTAGCCTCTTCATCTCTGCTATGGGTTCACAGTTACTAATGAAAAGTCAATCTGTCCTGTGGGCAGCGACGGGGTCCTGGGTCAAAGGATTTTGGCCTCTTGTGGCTGCTTCTCTGTGATGTGTTTTGACCTCTCGGTTCATTGGAGGGGAACAGGGTGTCTGGGTCGTGGAGGGGAGGTTGTCCTTTTCTCTTGTGTTTTTACTTTTTTACTTTTGAAACTTTACAACCTATGCTGTCTCTTGAAGACATGTCTGTTTTTATTTGTTCATTTTGTGGGTCATGAACGTCTCAGCAGTCACAAGCTCAGATTAAATACCTCTCCATGAATAAGTGTAATTATGACACTGGTCTTTTGGAAAGGACTTTCATGGATTGTAAATCTGATGAAAGATTAAACTTGATCTTTTTTTTTCTTCACTTGCAACATTCATATTTTTTCAACGAAATAATTGAACAACCCAAAGTACAGCCCCGCCCCCCGTTTAAAGAGCTTTCTTGACTGTACCCGTGGATTCTTCTTGGCCCACATCCCATCTTTTACACCCTGTTGAAAGTCGTTCCCTGTAACCCCCCAAAGCTCTCAAACATTGATGGTTCCTGCTTCCTTTGAATTCTTTGTTTTGTCTCTTGCACCGGCATAGTTCCTGAAACTAAAGAAGTGGTGATCCACAAGTACAAGACACCCATGGTGAGTCCTCACGACTGCTGACACAATGTTTGACATTAGTACTTTTAAACATGACAAATATTTATTTTAATTTTGTCCTCCCTCACTTGGGGAGACAAACATGTACTTTAGGGTGAAATCTGAACCCATAATCTAAAAGGAAGAGTTCCACAAAAAGGAATGAAGGGTTTTAGAGGACACATCGGCCTTTGAGAGACTCTTTAGTCTCCTTAGTCTGAGTAATGAGCAGATGTCACCAAAGTCTGCACTTTATCTTCTGCCCAATGAAATCATTTCACTTCTGCAGCCTGAACATGAGCTCCACCTGAACCCTGATCATATTCTTAATGAGAAAATGAAGAAGTTTGAAAAGCTTAATTGGCTGAATAGTTATACTTTGCCTCCAGTCCTCCTGTTGTGTAAGGTGACCAATTAAAAATAAAAATAGATGTTTCAACCATCATCTATAAGTACACACTGGCCAGTCCTAGCAATTAAATGCTCCATTCAATAAAATGTATTTTGTTAGTGATTTAGTGAAGCTTGGATCCTCAAGGACTCAAGTCTTTATACATTTCAAGCAGATAGTTAGAACACCACGCAGACATTTTTCTTTTTCTTCACAGTTGGATATTTGCAGTTCAGTTTGCTCAAATGTTTAGAAGTTTGTGAATGCAAAGTTTAGAGAATAGAAATTAAAGGTGCAGTTGGGTTTTTATTACTCAAGTTATGTTCACATTCAATGATGTTTACTAAAACTCGATGTGTTGTGCATCGAGGTAGAGCAGAATCGTTGAATGTTTTATCTTCCTTCAGCATGAGAGGAGCCTCTCCTCTAGCTTTGAGGAGGTTTTGTTATCTTTTGACTCAACACAAACGTAACCTCTTACCTGCACATTTTTCTCCCTCGTGTATTTCTTCTTCCTGCAGGCACATCAGATCTGTTACTCCGTCCTCTGCCTTTTCTCCTACGTGGCGGCAGTGAAGGGGAAGGAGGCCGAAGGAAAACACAAGATGCTGTCACCAAGACCCCTTCCTAGCTAGTCCACATCCTGCGTCTGCTCCCCCTCCTTCGGTGTGCCTCTCTACTTGAAACGGCTTCTCAGCTCTGAATCCACAGACTTCTGACAATCCCTAACTTTAGTCTAAGCACACAATCCCACTCCCTCCTCCTGTACATACAAGCCTGAAATCCTTTTAAGTTCCTGTTGTGTAACGTGTTCGGTCTGTGATGTCGTGTAAATAATTGCTCATTGCTGTCGTCCCCATGATCATACCAACTAGCTAAAGGTTTGCCTGCTCTGTACGCTGGGAGGAACCATTCCCCCTCGAGCTTCTCTCCTCTGTCTTCTATTGTTCCCGCTGCCAAGACACATGTTTTTACCGATAGGAAATGTGAGGGATTTCCCCAAGGCACAAAGTGCATGCAGGTCCCGTGCACAGCCTTGGAGTGTCACTACAGAGTAGACAACCCCCCCCCCCCCCCTCCCCCCCTCATTATATTCGTCTCCATCTGACTGTGTGAGTTGTTCTGTGATATGTGCTTACTGTAAAGTTCCAGTCTGTCCAAGTTTAAACTGGTGAAACATCCAGAGACCCTCTCGTAGTGCAGGACATCCCATCATGAAAAAAGCTACTGTACACTGCACCAGAGCACCGCATGTGAACGCTTCTTCAAAAAGTGTTTGAACCCCAAAATAATGTGAGTGTTCTCTGAATTACTGTTCTAGTTCTGCTGTAAAACTTTCTCGTCTGTGGTCTGCTGTTATCGATTGCATGTTACTATGATGATAACAAATAAATATTATATATATATTTCTATATATAGTATTTATTTAATATATACATATAATGACTGTACATTTCTCTGGAAAAAATAATGTTACAAATTGTTGATTTGCTAGATGTGCAATACTCAATAAGTAGTTAGCCATTGCCAGAGCCAGGTTTCCTTAAGTAAACCAGCGTCCACAGGGTGAAGAATGTAAGAAGGACCTTTTGTTTTCTATAGTGCGTGTTTATTGACGTGAATATGGCGACTGTTTCAAGTTTGTCTTTTTGAAATCGGGATCATACGTGGAAGAAAAACTGCTGCTGTGTTGCTCTCTGTGGGTGCAGACGTCACAGCAGGTACTTTTAAACAAACAGCAGGTGGTGGACATGCTGGAGAAAGAATCTTATTCCATTTGAATTCAGCCATTATAAGCCATGTTTGCTGGATTATTTCTGTGGTCTGTGTGAGTGGTGCTTGCCATTTTTATGCTGAATTTAAATGTGGGGGGAAAAAGGAAACAAAGATAAACTGGTGTAACATCAAGATGTGACCACAAGAGGGCGCTTTTTCAAACCTTTTGAAGTACATTATGATCTTTTTATATTCAGCCTCATTAAGTTTAACATCTACCTGATCTTTTTTTTGTTTTTTAACTGCTGCATACAAACAACTTCAGGTACATGGACCTCTGCCATAACCAGCATCTGAGTTGTTCTTTTCTGTTAAATGTTTGAAAATGTCCATCGCTGAGGGATCATTAAATGATAAGAACAAAATAAGTGTCAACAAAACAGATGTAACAGAGAGCATCTGTTGCTGCTACTTATCAAGAAAAAAAAAAGAACACAAACGTTCATTCAGTGAGACTAAAACTAGCTATTAAAACCAGCAACTAATGGAAGATAAATAAGGCTACCTGTAACATTCAAACTTTACAGGTACAGGATGACTTTTGTCAGAAATAGGGACTTGTCCTCTGCTGTGCCTCTGTTGTTCTCATCTCATGAGCCTTTCTATCACTGGCTGTACAGAATGAATAACATCGTAACAACCAGGGTCTAACAGGCCGTGAAATAATGTTACCTGCCCTACTTTGAAAAAAAACCCCAGAAGGAATAAGTAGCACCCTACATTTACCAGCCATGGAATAATTTAAAAGATTGAATATTAACAGCAACCACTTGTGGAAACTGTGATGGAATCAGTGCAAAAATGTCTCCTGCAATTACAGTAGGAAAGCAACAAAATGATGTTAACTAATGATAAAGCATTAGAGCAAAACATGTCAGAAAATGGTGAAGAGTTCTAGTTAAAGTCAGTTGAATGCACCAACAGTAATCAATAAGTTATTAAATCATCTGTCATAGAACATCAGTGAAAGATTGTTTCATTTTGAAGCAGGAAGAAGTGATTTATTTTTTGTACCTGAGCACCTGAAAGATGAGCTTTTTGTCAGAGTATGGTGTCAGTCTGATCTGTGACAAAAGTCTGAAGCCCTCAGAAGTCACAGCAGCAGTTTTCCACCCTGAGTCTGATCTTCTGACGTGTTGAACGCTAACAGCTGTGGTCATCTGATCCTCCAGTCTTAATGTTGTTTCTGTTCTGTGATAGTAAAGAACAGTTGAATCTGGTCCTAACGCTGGCTCATTTGACTTTCACGAGTGTGTGTTTTTGTGTGTGTGTGTGTGTTTTCTCCAGATCAGCAATATATCGGTACAGTTATTTCACTGGAAGATGTTCTTTAAACTCTGACAAGCTTATTTTTGAGTGATTTAACTGTGCAAAGAAAGGCGATGATTGGGATATTCGGAGGATCCTGTTTCATCAATAAATGAAAATGACAGAAACTGGATCTGAAGCGTCTCTGAAGTTGGTTTGTGAATGGGACATGGCTCGTTCTGCTTATGATTGTTTGTTTTTGTTTACTGGACTATTACAGCTCATCCCTGTCATTGTTTAAGCCAGCTGCTGTAATGAGAGGGAATAAATGAAATGAGATGTCAGGTGTAATAATTCCAGTATTTAAAAAAGTATTTATAGAACATGTACAGCTTTGGCAATATAATAAAGTTGTTGCAAATGAAGTGCGATGTTTTCATTTTTAAGACATAAAAGTGAGCTTCACCAATCAAACATATAGACCACAAAGTTGGAGCTACAGAGATTTATTTGAGCCAGCTGTGTGTACATTGAGTGAAACACACTTTACAAAAAGCTTTCTTTATAGTTTGAGTTCATAGTGACTAGCAGTGCAACCCTTAAAAGAATTAAGACTGAGCAAAGGAATACTCCCCAAACAAAGGTCTCAGCTGCCGCACTATAGTATACCATTCACTGGTGAGCTCAACAGTGAACACCTGATCACACTTTACCTGATAAATCCATAATGTCTTTTATATTTCATCTTACGGGAGCAGTGTCAAGTATTTCCATCTACACGAGCATCTCGCTATAAGAAACTTACTGTTCCCTCTAAAAATGTTAGAGCACCTAAATACTGCACAGTGGTCGTTATAGTTTCATTAAAATGAATCAAGGTTGTAACGGATACATTTGTCTCTGGGCACTTCGGTGACCGTTAAAATGTCAAACCTCGTCTGAAAATTATTTCCCCCAAAGAATGAGAAGAACTCGTCAATGTCCAATCTAGAGAATAACAGCATCACAAACTTGGCAACATGAAACGTAAGCACATTGTGCTTTCTAATAACATCATGAAAAAGTTCACAGGTACCTTATGGATTCTTTTTACAAAAAAAAAGTATTTGATCACCAAATCCTGGTAACCAGTCGGGTAGTTTAGAAATATGTGTAGGATAGAATTTCCCTCAAACAAAAAAATAAATAAATAACAGCTCTGAAACTTCTGCCAGGATCACACAAAAGTAAATCATGCTGCTGAATACAAAGAAAGAATTGTTTCTGTTTCTGATGAAAAGTCCTTTTCCATATTTACAACTATAGCTTTCACAGGAACTATTTTGTTTTGGTTAAACAACAAAGTAGTTTCATGTTGAGATTTCCTGCTCATTCTGAGTTTTTTTTTCATTCTTTTTGCATTACAAATCAAATGCATCCATCCTCGTCTAACAAAAGCAGAAGTATCATTATTAAACTAAATAACAGTCTGTAATCCATCGTAAAAAAACAATATGATTTCAGAAACAGTTGAAACATGGTGAGCTTAACCAGAGAACAGGGAATTATGAATTTGATTAAAATAAACTTATGAGTTTCATAATATCATAATTAAAAAAAAGTATAAAACCTCTGAAGTATCAGCTTATAAAAGTGAAATCTAAGTGTCATATTTTGCATTGAAGCGTTGCTCTGTAATAAGCCTGAAAAGTTAAAGATACCCTGCAGATTTAAAACCAGCCTAAAGAAAGCATCCTCAACTGTTGATTTAAATTCATTTGATTTGATGCCTGACTGACTCACAGAAAGAGATCAAGCTCTTCTCCTGTTGTCAGATAGTTTCTTTGCACTTCGCCCTCCGTCTCCTCAGCGTTCAGCTGAACTCTTGAAACTTAAAACATTGTTTCCATTCTCTGCAAAGGCTGCAGAGCTACCGTCTTTACTTTGAAGTTTCAGACGTTGCCATTGACCGAGCTGCGAAGTATCCGGAGGCGGGACATGACTTCGTCCCAGTCCAGGTAGGCTCCCTCCAGGTGTCTCAACCTGTCCAGCCTGCTGACGTAGCTCCTCCGCCCGTGCAGCAGACGCCAGTTATCAAAGGTCACCAAGTCTCCTGAAAGGCAAAAACACAGACTGATCAGAAACGGGTCTGAGGAACAATTTTCAGACGGCCACATTTATCTAAATGTCTCAGACCCTGACCTGCTATGCTTAATGTTCGTGTCAAACTTTTGGTTCCACATTATAATGTAGTGATCAGATGTTGTACTTCTTGGTGTTGGACATGAAACTCCTGCAGGCAGAATGCGTGTTAACCAGACAGACTAAAGTTCATCTTTTATGTAAAAGCAGAGTACATATAGCTGAATAAATGTGTTAAAAAGAGAAACTCTTCCAGCTTGCCTCATTCCCACCACATTAGGATGCTGACAGTAGGACAGCCCTGCAGTGTGGTTAGTGTTAAACTTTAGTCACAGGCCTTTTTCACCCCGACCCATTTGTTTTAACACTTCTACTGGTGCACATCACATACACACACAGGATTGTTTGAATCACACAGAATCCTTTGAGCGACCTCAAGGACGCTTCAACAGGATGGATGATTTCCAACATGGCTGTTTGAACCCAGCGTGATGTTGTGGACACACCGTCTTCCCTACTAATGGAAGGCTCCTGCTCCTCTCTGATGTCCTGAATGTCTCATTGAATATCACGACTCTTTCACTGTCACTGCAGCAGACTCTCCTCCGAGCAGTGATTATTTAGAGAGGGGGTACCTCGGACTTTGGTTATCTGATTTGGTCAGAGATGACAGAGATGGCACTGACATTCCTGATGTCATCATGACCTTCATGACGGCAGACTTGTTGTTCTACATGACTGTGACAGTTCGTGTTCTGGTTATTATTAGCCTGGCCTTCACAGACACATCATTTTACACGGGTTGAGTTTTAAGAGTTGCTCGCTGACCTGGCTGCATGCTGTATGTGACCACGTTCTCTGGTCGGTTCATGATGTTCACATAGGTCTTCAGAGCTCTGTAGAAAGGCTGAACCTGATGTAAGGGCAGGTCCAGCACTGAGTTTCTGGTGGCGTTGTTGTAGTTAATCCGAACGACTCGGCCCTCAGGGTCAAGGCTGCCCACATGGAAAACGGAAATTATTTAATTAAAACAGAAAATGTGCAACAATTTTTTATGATTTGAAAATGTAAGTCAACAGTGAGCAAGCACACAAAACACACGTCTGAAGCTGCGACTAATATTTTGCATTGAAGCGTTGCAGGGATGAATCAGTCAATCAATGAATAAATTAATGGAGGAAATCGTTTCAACTTAAGTTCGAGGTAAACCAGGTGGTAAAAAAAGATCATGGACACATGAACATCGAAGCTAACTGTTGAAGCTCTCAGTTAAACACAGTGAACAGAGAGGCGGCTTCAACACTCCTCTGAAAGTTCCCCACAATTTGGTAGGATGTACTCAGTATATTTGGTCATAACAAATGTGAACAGCAGATGGCAGTGTCTCATTTTATATCTCAGATTCACTCATTCTCTCATACTGGGGGATTTTATCTCAGCATCTTTTTCTGCAATGAAAGTCATTTTCTTGTCTGTGACTTAGCTTCATGCAGAGACAGTGAATGTGTGAAAAATAAAAACAACAGGTGATCTGTCCGCCAGTCTCCACTCACTCGATGATGCACTTCTTGGACTGCAGCATGAAGTCACAGTAGTCCGTCCCCGTGTCAGTGAAGTCCACGGGGAGTGAGGTGAGCGTCCTGAAGGCCTCTGGGTCTTCTCTCTGCAGCTGCTTGGCCATGTGGAAGCCGTCCACAACCTCGCTCTCGCCCCCCTCCACCGCCTGAGTGATGCAGTGAAGAAACTGCACCTATGGCAGTCGAACACACACACACAAAAAAAAACACACAAACATATGCCGAACAAATGCTTGTTTTAAAAACTGTAAGGACATAACAACCCAAATTCCAGCCCTGGAACAGCCTTATAAAAGCTGCACATAAACTAATAAGTGATAGTATCTCTGTTTAATGCTCTTAATCGACCATACTAATTAGATTTACTCACTCCAGGTGCAAAGTGCAGTGCCGGGTAGTCTGTGTGGAGACTGAGCCTTCCAGAAGTGTAGGCTACATTGTTTGCCATGTATTTGTCCTGGACCTGCCAAGTGTGCCTGAGGACAAAGATAACATTCATTAATAAACTACTCGTTAATTATTTAACGTTGGCTTCAGAAGATAAGCAGCGACAATTAGGAGCTGTGAGGAGAAAGAGAGAAAGAGATGAGATGAACTTTGTGGGGTTCCCTGAGGGGGGGAAGTGGGCAGCTTCACAGGAACACGCAGACTGCTGCCTCTGAAGCCGACATTTCATTGAGATGCAGCAGGAGTATAGCACTAATGAGGTAAAGTTATCTTCCATGTTCTGTTTGCAAGCCTCGTTTGGATGCCCGACTCGTAAAAGCGGTCTAGTTTCTCTGATGGCAGGCCTTCAGCTTAGAGTCTGCAGTCTTTTTTGCTTCCAACAGTATGAGCTCATCCGCTGGCAGAGGGAAAGCTTGAGGCTCCAAACCTCTGTTCTGACTGAGTGCACCAGGTAATTCCTCTGGCTTAAAAAAGATGGAATGCTTTAAAGTTGTTTTCCTCGTCTCTGTCCTCAAGTAATCAGCTCTGCACTAAGTCAAAGAGATGACTCTGGTGCGATGAAAGGCCCAAAGACACCTCTGAGCTCTCCGTGGAACAGGAAAGAATCAAAGCTGTACATAATTGACCAGTGGAGGAATAATCCTCAACATTCATTTGGTTAAGTGAGAATCTGAGAACGTATTTCCTCACAATGTCTATCTCCTTTTCTTTTCTCTCCTGACTCCCTGGAAATGGAGAATAAACAATGAGCTTTTTCTTAATTGAATTCTTACTAATAACACTCTCTGGGCTCTTCTCCAGCTAAAATATGATCAGTGGAAAATTCAGCAGTTCAGGATGTTTTGAGGAATACGATTTGTAAACAGAGTCTTGGCTGAGGATGATTGGAGAAAAATAGATGAACATCACTGCGTCTTACCCGTAGAATGTCAGCCTGAGGTAGCCAATCCTCTCAGCCAGTCTAGCAACTTGGCCCTGCTCAGCTGGAGCCCCTTTCAGGTACACGATGCCAACGCGACGCAGCGCCAAGAGCCAGGCCAGCGCCGCCTGATCGTCATGCAGGACTTCCTGGTAGTCTGCTGTGGGGATGCGCAGTTTGGAGTCCCAGTAATAACGCTCTGAAATGAGAGAGAACATGAAAATAATGTTATTTCATCTAAGCAGAGATTTACATATAGAGAAGCTTTTTTTTGGGGGGGGGGGGATTGTGTTTGACTGGAAATAAGCTGCATCTGGAATGCACCAACATGGAGCTTTTCCATCCATCAGTGAGCCTTTGGCCTGTCCTGTTGCTGCTCTGTCAACAAACAAACAAACAAAAACAAGAGCACCACTGGTCTGTTTCAGAGCAGCTCAATCAGATGTTACATTCATTGTTTTCTTCCCCTTACATGGCCTTGAAATGGGACTGCAAGGGCAGAAGTTTAGTCCCATCTGCTGCTCATGCGTCACCCACACACACTGTGACTGTCATCTGTGTGGATTTACTGATGTGTGCTAAAATGTCTTTTAATCACTCATGTCAAGAATAAGAAAGTAGAATATGTCGGCAGAAGCCACTTTACTTGGTGTGTGAAGCATTCTGGTTTCCTTTCTAGTCCAGTGATATCATCCACTTGCATTTCAGCTTCAGTCTGGGTAGAGAGCAAAAAAAGAGGGACGGGCTGCAATCCGCCGTGATGCAACCCAGGAACCTATCGGGGGTCATACGACGACCAAGCAGCTTTAATTAAACCCTATAAACAAACATCTGCATTCAAGTACAGCTAACGATCCACTCTTAGACTTTGGGACTCAATCCAAACTCCATTCACGCTTCTCAAGTCGGACTGTAAAATGAAGTCTTTGCTGGACTACACCAAAAGCAACCCAAAAAGTTGTCTATTCCGCTGAGTTATATTGTCATCAGACAATACCTGATGGGTTTAGAGATAAACAATGACATATTTAGTCATGGTTGTATCTGAAATCCTTCACTATTATCTATATCTATGTAGAGGACTGTATAGTGATCTCCTCAGCAGATGGAAGAACAACGCAGACTAAGCTGCACATTCTCTGCTCCTTTATTGTGTCCTTGCTTTGTTTTTAGTCTTCAGCGTCACACGTGATGGTGCTAGTGACCATCAGCTGTATGCTCCCACTATTTAAGATTTTCCATACATTTTAAAACCGCTCTACAAAATGAAGAAAATCAATCTCCTGAGGAATAAATCGTAAGTATTAAGTTATCTTTGACTAGGTTTGTATATTTAAGGAAGGTGGCCACAAATTCCCAATAATCTATCATTTATGTATCCATGTATCCTTATATGAGTTTATCCATCTGTCTAAAACACTTGAAGATGTTTTTTTGTTAAGTATCTGCATAAGTGATTGATTTGCCAGAGGATATTGGCAGGTTTTTTTTTGCATGTTTGAACATGAATGATAGTCCAGACACCCTTGAGGATTCATTTGTGTAAACTCAAAATAAAGAAGATGAAAGTTTTCACTGAAGGCAGCTGTGTTGACATTATCCTATTATTTGGTTCAACTGATAAAATGAACCAGAACCAGGACGACATGCAGCAGGGGCCAGCTGTAGAGCGGACAGACAGCCCTTTCTACTTTCCATCAACACACATCTTAAGCCCAAGTGTTTTCCACTGACGACATAAAGGAAGTCACATAATGTATGGCAACAGGAAATACTTTCAATTAATAAAACCCATCACAAAAAATGGAGTTGAAACTTTTCAGGCTTAAAAATAAAATAATGTGTTTCGTATGTATATTTTCTTCTTGAACGATAACATTAATTCTTTACTTTGTTGGTCCCCTTCGTATTTCTTTTGAAAACTTTGCAGCCTGCCGTGCGTTCGATGGTCTGCAAACTTCAGGATGAATAGCTGGCTGAGAAAAATCAGACCCTCTCTCTAAGACAGACAGAAGTGGAAAAAATCCTCCCACTGGTCTCCGCCCAGCTGGCCCGACTCCTTTTTCCATGCAGCCCCTCTCCAGTGACTTCCTCTGAAGCAGCTGCTAAGTAGATTTGCCGAAGAAGGAGGAGGAGGAGGAGGAGGAGGGATTAGCAAAGAAGATTGTGTACCTGTCTGTTAGTGGCTCCTCCTCGTGTCTCTTTCCATTCCCACACATCAAAACAACTTCCCAAATATCTGCATCACAAACAGATTACGAGTCTGCAGATAATGGACAAGCAGCAGAGAAAGCTTTCTGAACTTCATTTGTGGTTCTTAAAAATGTCCAAAAGATGAAAAGACTCTAAAGGCCGTAAAGATTTACAGACTTTAACTGGTGCTGAGGAATTTCAGCTCCTGGTTTTGTTAGCAGCAGTGAGGCACACAGCACTCAGGGATGTAACATCAGTCAGGAACACAGTGATCATCGTGACTCCTGGACCTCCCTCCAGGCTCTTGTCACAAACGATCAGCTTCTGGCCGAACAGTTCAAAGGGTCAGGAACCCCCGCTTGTTAAAACTTGTCAAGAGGGCAGAGAGAAACAAAGGTGGAGAATGAGAAACTGGGGTAAAGGTCAAGCCTGAATGTTACAGTTACTCTTGTGAAACTGGACCTGCATGTCTTGTAAAGGTCTGGCGATGTTCTGGCCCCGTGGTTTAGGGTGTCACCCGTGACAAAGAGGCTACAGCGTCAGACACAGCATGCATATACATCAGCTGTGAAGTCCTGGCTGCAGTTCAGCCCAGATCTTTTTTTGAACTCTTATCACGCTCGCTGCAGTCGAGCCGGGTCCAACAAAAAGAGTTTGCATGAATACCTGCGTTTGAATCAGCTCCTCCATTTTTGCTTGTTTTTCCACGGGAAGCTAATCACAATTCTGAGATGTAAGTGATAATGAGGAAGGTCCTTTGTCAGCGTCAACTGGCTGCAGACTTAAAAACAAATTGGGGCTTTCTCATCTAAGTGTTGAAATCCTGTACAGATTCAGTGCAGCTAAAACAAAGCTTCAAAACTGGAAAAATACGGTTATTTTGTGTTCCTGAATCTCCCCTCTGGTAATCAAAATAGGATTTAACTATCTTATATTGCATTAAAAAACAAGTGCAAAATGCTACTTTTCAGGTTAAGAAACAATCAAATCTGTGAGTTAGGAAACAGTTCTATGCTGAAATGGAGAGCTCGCTCTATTCCGCTTATATGCAATGGCAGCAGTTCCTGCTCCTTCAGATTAAGAAACATAATCCGTTTACTGAAATCAATGAATAACTCTCCATGATACTTGTGATACTTCAGTTCTGTGTTCATCTGTGATCTTAATATCTGATTGTGTTTGAATGTGTCTGTTATGTAATTTGTTTTCCTTTGTTTGTCTAAAATGATGCCGTCTTTATCTTGAATGTGACTTCACTTTATGTCTTTGTATGTCAATGAGTAATGAGAAGTACTTACTAATTGATGTTATTCATATAAATGAACACCATGTCAAGGCCTTTCTTATAGTATATTTTTAATCTGTAACTGATATTACCTTTAGAAACAACGTCAACGTGTCAGTGTGTAAATGGAGAGATCTGTTCTTAACCTTCCAACAACTGTGTTCAGAAAGACTGTACACTACCTGCTCAAAGCCCGGCAGCAGAAAGAGAAAGTAAACAACTACCTGAAAGAGACATTGCTGCAGCTCAAGAATCCCAGAAGTTGGTAGAGACCAAAACAGAGCTCAAACAGAGTCAGTATTGGACTTAAATTCATGGCAGAGGATGAATGATGATGTTGCTCTATAACTGATGAATGAGTCAAGAAACAACAACTTGCTTAGATCATGAACTTATGGTGATGAAATGTCAGTGTTGTGTTTACTTCCTGTTCTCACTGCCCCCAAGTGGCCGATTAACAAACACATCCAGGTTTCAGACTTAACTTTATTTTCTAATGTCTGTAGGACCCCTGCAGTTTTTCACAGCGAGGAATGTGCTGCGGTGAGCTTGGAGGGACGCCTCTGACATTCTGACAAGATAGTCTATGTGTATAATCCCGTCTCCTGTTTCTCCCGGCTTGTGGTCTGCTACAGTGTCTTTTCCAGATGAGGAAACCTGAAGCTGGGGCTCCTGTGGCTGTCAGACAGCTCATGGCAGTTTGGCTCTCCCCTCACTGTGCTCTGTTTAAGCTCAGAGGACTGCAGAGCAGCTGGGAGCACCTTCAAAGCTGTCTGAATCACTGCAGTTATCTTCAGAGCTTTTTGTTTTGACTTGGTTAAGTTTTATCACAGAGCTCGGATCAGTTCGCTTCAATGGGCAGCCTGAGGAATGCACAGCAGAGGGCTCACAGCCAGATGGGCATCAAAAAGAAAACCCTTCTCATTTCTGTTTTGGAAAGAGTGGCTTTATATCAAAGATTCAAGCTGTTAGGTTCATTAAAGGATTTTAAAGAAGTACTTCAGTAAATCTGAATAAGATTGCTTTATTTCACCTGAAAGTAGATCTTGATATATTCCACTTTCTGATTGTAGTGATGAGTAAATAAAGCCAGTAGTGGTATAAAAATGTGAGTTAATACTTCATGATGTACTTATAGCAGCATAATGGAACTATTTTACCTTCAAAATAAAAGCTTTAAATTCATTTCCAGTGTTCACCGACTTGAAAGGAGTATAAGTGCGGGGTATCAAGAAAAAAATAATGAGAGAGGAGGATTTTATCAACTATTTTGCTTTTAGAAAAACATGAAGAAAGAATTTAGAAAATGTCAAATGATGAACTGATCAAAGAAATAATACAGAGATTCTCACTTTGATCTCAACTATTTGAAGATTTTTTTTCTTTAGAATGGAAGAAGAAAAGGAAAGTTCTTAAACCCTTTTCCCCTATTAAGACTGGCCTGAAACCTCGTACAAAGGCCTGAAATATGGAGACTGGAGTCCTCCCATCTGCCCTGAACACCTGTTTCTGTTTGTGCTCCATGAAACTTTGTCTGGAAACGAACAATCTCTTTGTGAGTGGTCCGTCTTTTCTTTTTACGAACAGAAATTATGAAAACGCCTTCCGATACAGGTCTTAGCTCATAATTTAATTTAGTATTAACATCAGTCAGACTCATAGGAGACCAGAGTGGATTGAAAAAAAAACAACTGAGAAATTGACAATTAGAAAAAAGTCAA